ATTATATAATTAGCCCTTGATGTTAGCCGTGGCCGGCGATCGAATTCAGGTCCCCCTTGTTCATCATGTAGTGTACTAACCACTGCGCCAACGCTCCCTTCTAGTGGCAGAGTTATTGGCAGGTGAATACATCAATCAATCTTTGTTTCCAATTTCAGCGCGTGCGTCAATTGATCCTTCGACCTGTCTGCCTTCCGAACTCTCGCGAAGCAACGCGCTAACTCCAGTGTGTCGAGGAGGCGACACGTGTACGTGTGGTGGTGGTGGTGTGTGTGTGGGGCGTGTGTTCGTGCCGATGTTTGCACGCGCGTGCTTGTGTGTTTCTGCATGGTGGAGCGTGTGCGTGGTCGTGTGAGTGGCGTATGTGTGGGGTGTGTGCTGCGTCCGTGGTATGCGCGAAGTCGTGTGGTCCATATGTGGTATCGTATGTGTGTGGTGGTGGTGGTGGTGTGCGTTAGAACTGTATTGTTGTTACGCCCTGTGAAGTGTGTTGTGTGGGTCCACGTTGGTATGCAGTCGACGACAGAAGAGACACAGAGACTCGGACACACAGAGACAATACAGACATACGGCGACAGATGCAAGTATCGAGACGACAGAGAGCTAATCACCATCTCTCCCCTCTCTCCACACTCTCCCTATTCTCTTCTTTCTCCCCCGAACTCTCCGCTCTCTCTCTTATCTCTCTCTCCACCCTCCCTTTTCTCTCCATTCTCTCTCCTCTCTCTCCCCTCTATCTCTCTCTCCTCTCTCCCCTCTCTCTCTCCCCTCTCTCCTCTCTCCCCTCTCTCTCCTCCGCAAATTTCAGCTGCGTCACGGCGGCGGAGAGATCCGCAGTCACGAGACCCAGAAGCCCCCCCCCGCCTTCATCCCCCACTCCCCCTCCCCTTCTCATCCATCCCGGAATGGCCCCTTGTGAAGGTGACCCCCCCCCCCGCACGCCTGCCCGCACCGCCCCCCCCCCTATTATTAATAGCGCGTCTCCCGTCCCCCTCGGCCGCCCCCCCCCCTCTTCTCCGCAGCCCCCCCCACCTCTACACACACCCGCTTCGCTTTAATTGCGGATGCAGAGGGGACCTATCATGCGGTGAACACGGCACGCACGGCGACACGCACAGAGACCCCCCCCCCCCGCCCCGGGTATAGCCGACTACGGCACAGGCTGTTGGAGCAAGTGCTTTTAGCGAGCACCTATTGGTGGGAAGAGCGGGCAAGGCGACACGCTCAGTCGCCTTTGTCTCTCTTCCCCCCCTCCCTCCCTTCCTCCAATGTTGTTTATACAGAGACGCGAACGCCAAAAAAATTGGCGTCATACACACATACACGCGTTTAAACACCTATTATTATACACAACCTTACGCACGCCACGCGCACTCCTATACGCACACACGCACGCCCAACACCATACACACACACACCAAACAGCACACACGCACACCCATACACAAACACACACGCTCAAATACATCCACACACAAACACACCCAAAAGCACACACGCACGCCCATACACAAACACACGCGCTCAAATACATCCACGCACAAACCCCTACATGTATACACACACACCCAAACACGCACGCACTAAATAGGGTAGGCGGGACCCCACGTCAGTGCGACACGTGACCACAACAAAAAAACACACACGGCACCTTGCAACACGCGGACACAACGATCACACCCCCCCTGAACAGACTGTTGGGGCAAGTTGGATCTATGACGGCCGGCACGGCACACGAGGGGGTCGGTGATCAACACCATGCCCGGGGCCGCCTTTGTCTTCCTAGTAGCGATGTTTATACACACCACGTACTTATTTGAGGCTGAGTCGACCTAGGGGAGGGCCGGGACCGGTTAAGATAATCGTCACTGGTGTTGGCCGTGAGCGGGAATCGAACCCGTGTCGCCGGGTTCATAGCGCAGCGCGCTAACCGCTACACTACCGCTACACACGTGCAGACACACACGCACGTACAGATACAGACACACACGCACAGACACACACAGACGTACAGATACACTCACACGTACAGACACACACACGTACATACACACACAGACACACACACGCACAGACACACACGTACAGATACATACACTCGCACAGACACACGCACGTACAGACACACACAGACACACACACGTACAGACGTACAGACACACACGCACACACACGTACAGACACACACGTAGACATACACACGTACAGACACACACACAGACATACACACGTACAGATACATACACTCGCACAGACACTCGTACAGACACACACACGTACAGACACACACGTACAGACACATACACACACAGACACACACACACGTACAGACACACACAGACACACACACGTACAGACACACACGTACAGACACACACACACGTAGACACACACACGTGAAGCTTGGGCAGCTCACGGAGATGCAATCTCTCTTTCAGAACCGAAACATTTAAACGCAGAACAAGCTCACAAAAGCAATCATAAACACATCCAGCGTACACACACACACACCGACCATAAACGACACTTTACACTGAGAGCGTATTAGGGTGAAGTTATTTAACAGCACGCAGAGCCGCTGCACGGCTTACAACACACACATCGGGCGAAGACGCTAAAACAACATCCACACGCAGCGTTACCTACGGGTTGTGGTCAAACATTGCAATAGTGAGAAATCACCAGCAAGTTACTCAATTGGGATCACACAGCCGCAGCAGCAACAATCTCATCTCTCCCCCCCCCACCAAACTCATGCGAGAGCCTGGCAGGACCCTCCTAAAAATAGTGTTGAGACTCAGTGAAGGCTTTTCCGGGTGAACAGGCAGAATGACAACAAAGTGTGTGGTGCGGAGCTGTTGTGGTAGGGGGACTTGCACAGTGACAACAACTTCCAACAACTTTCAACAACCGCGCGACAGCCCAAAGCGGCACAATTCCAACACAAGCGCAGTGGCACCAGAACTAAACAGCAAGTCACACAGCAACGCAATTATGTAACAGCACAAGAACACACGTCAACAGGAACATAGTCGCGTAATCACCACGCAACAACAACCATAGAATAACATAACACCACGGGCACAGCATAACGGTATACAAACCACCACAAAACATAACACCAGCATAACACAAAACATAACACCAGCGTAACACAAAACATAACACCAGTATAACCCAAAACATAACACCAGCATAACAAAAAAACACAAAACCAGCATAACACAAAACATAACACCAGCATAACAAAACATAACACCAGCATAACACAAAACATACCAGTATAACACAGAACATAACACCAGCATAACACAAAACATAACACAAAACATAACACCAGTATAACACAAAACATAACACCAGCATAACAAGACAACCACACAACACAACAATAACTGAATATAAACTATCTTGTGTTACGCTGTTGTGTGTTTTTGTGTTATACTGTTGTGTTATACTGTTGTGTGTTGTCGTGCTATTGTGTGTATGTTGTGTCATTGTCACTCCACTGCTGGATGAGGGCATCCCCACACCCTGCGTTATATAACCATACTTCACCAGGCTGGTCAATACACGCCTACTGGGAGATTTATTACAGATGGGCACGCAGGTAACACAATATAAGGTACAGAGATTGTATTTCACAAACACGCACAGTGTGCACGTGTATGTACGTGCACACTGTTCTGTGTAACAACATAAGATGTCCTTTATGACGACAAAAACTACACAACGGTTCTTTATGTACCCAGCAAAGACTCAAATTAATCTCAAGACTCGTTTCCAAGAGGGTGCTGCCGCATTGGGATTCTTGGCCAATTCCATTCAGAAATTTGGCTTTCATGTGCATGCTTGGCTGCATGATTTGACATCACGGTAATGTACACAATCACACACACATACGTACATCATCACGCTCACATTCACATACAATCACACACACAATCACACGCACACAGATACACAATCACACACGCACACAATACAATAAAACAAGTTATACTTGCACAAGGACAAATATCCACCGTGTAGCCTTAACAGACTGTTGGGGCAAGTGCTGTTAGCGAGCACACGATGGAGTGGGTGACCAGCAACCACGCCAGGCCACCTTTGTCTCCCCCAGTGCTGCTGCCTACACACAGAACCCAGGTACTGATTAATTGCCGAGTCAACCTAGGGGAGGCCCAGATATTCGCCAATGTCAACAACGATTGTGAGAGGGAATCGAACTCGGGTTGCCACATGCGCTTAACCCGCTACACCCTTATAAACACACACACACACGAATCCACACACACGCATTCACACACACCAACACAAATACACCCACACACACACGAATACACACACACGAATCCACACACACAAACATCCACACACACACACCAACACGAATACACACACGAACACACACACACGAATCCACACACACACGAATCCACACACACGAATCCACACACACGAATCCACACACACGAATCCACACACACGAATCCACACACACATCTACACACACGAATACACACACGAACACACCCACACACAGTCAAACGTAAACACTGCCACACGGGATACAGTTGCCAGAGTGGGCACTGCCCTGGGCGATGGAATTTGTGTTTTAAAATAAAAGCCACTCGGCATGCACAACAACTCCACCACTCTCTCTCACACCACCACCGATCACTAAACATCCCAACAACCACCACCACCACACTAACCACCACAATAATAATAATCAATAACACCATCATCACGAGCATCATAAACGTCAACCACAACTACACCACATCAACAATCACCACCCTCATCACCATCATATTCACGAACACCATCATCACAACTACCACCAACAACCATCAACCACACCAGCGCTGCTGCCACCACCACCACCGACAACAACAACATCAACATCATTTGTATCATCAAAAAGAAGCGAGGTCGCTCACGAACTTCAAATGTGTCACCGCGCGCAGGTCGCGAGGCTCGCTTCACATTCTCACCTGGACGGGAGCAGGGAGCAGGGCCGAGTGAGCTGGGCAAGGGGTAGAAGGGGCAGGGAACCACCTGAAGGGGCAGGGAAGGGCAGGGCAGGGCAGGGCAGCCCCCCCACCACCTCGCCGTGACCCGCACTCCGCGTAGAGAACGAGATGGAGAGTGAACTCCGCGTCTAGCCGCGGCCGCCCGGAGTAACTCTCCCCGGGCCGAATCGCTTCTCCGTGCCCTCCTCCTTCTCCCCCTTCTCCTCCTCCATCATCATCATCACCGTCGTCGTCGTTTTGCGCTGTATCCCCTGCATCTCGCGGAGTCCCAGGGCGGGGGACGGGGGGGGGTACGGGATCCAGGGGAAATTTGCGAGCGTGGAGAGTAATTCTGCTCTTCTCCCGCGGTCTCTCCACGCCCGCAGAGAGTCGGAGGAGGGAGAGGCCCGGAGGGAGGAGCGAGGAGGAAGACGCCTCCGCTACGGAGTCCCCCACTCTGTGCGCTCTCCACCGTGGCAATTAACTCTCCGTCATCCCTAACTGCACTCTCCACCGTGCACTTAACTCTCCACCATCCCTAACTGCATTCTCCACCATCCCTAGCTGCACTATCCAGAGTGCACTTAACTCTCCACCATCCCTGACTGCACTCTCCACCATCCCTAACTGCACTCTCCACCATCCCTAGCTGCACTATCCAGAGTGCACTTAACTCTCCACCATCCCTAACTGCACTATCCAGAGTGCACTTAACTCTCCACCATCCCTAACTGCACTCTCCACCATCCCAAACTGCACTATCCAGAGTGCACTTAACTCTCCACCATCCCTGACTGCACTCTCCACTGTGGCAATTAACTCTCCACCACCCCCCTTACCGAACACTGAACTCTCAGCGCTCTTCCCCACACGCGGCCCACCACCCCCCCCCCCCCCCCCCTTCAACTCTCCACGACCTACTTGCTGTACGCTACTCTCCACGGCGTACTCAACTCCTCAGTTGTGCTGCACTCCACACTCTGTGCTGTACTCCGCACCCTGTGCTGCACTCCCCACTCTTGTCATCAGTGGTCGATACTCTCAAGCTCAGCGACTCGACTCAATCGGGATCAGAGGCCCCCTACCGGCCCCAGCTAACCCAGCTCACTCTTGCAAACGACTCTCTCTCTCTCTGTCTCTCCTGGAACACTCGAGTACTCTGTGGGTTAAACAAAATGAACTTGAGACGACTCTCCGCAGAGTACACCCCCCCCACTACCCCCCCCCCCCCCAATGTGCACGTACCCTGAACTCTACTCTCCAACGTATCGTGCTGCACCCTCCACTGTACTCAGCTCGCCATCATGAACTCGACTCCCCACGCTCACCTACTGTACTCTCCAACTCACCTACTGTACTCTCCACTCCGCACTGTATTCCGCTGTACTCCCAACCGTGCACTGTGCTGCACGCGCACTACTGTACCCTCCACACTCGCAGCGCTCTCCCTCCTGCACTCTCTCCGGCAGCAACCCAGCACAGTTCTCTCACTCTCCCCACACTCTCCGCCCTCTCTCCCTCTCTCTTCACTCCCTCTTCCCTCTCTCTCACTCTCCCCACACTCTCCGCCTTCTCCCTCTCTCTCTCCACTCCCTCTTCCCTCTCTCTCTCTCTCCACCCTGTCCGCCCACTCTACACCCACCCCCAAACCTCTCTCGCTCTCTCTTTTTTTACGATCAGAGGAAACAAGAAGGTGCTCGGTGTAGTCGGCACTTTGCTCCGTTCATCATTTCGTTTTTTTATGCTTTGCTTTATGTAACCCCCCCCCCCCCCTTTAAATGCAAGACCAAACAAAATATTTTTTTTTATTTCTGCTCTCCTTACCCCTTCCCTCTCTCTCTTTTTTCCCTTCACTCTCTCTCTCACTCCACCCTCATGGTCCTTCACTCTCCTCACTCTGTCCACTCTCATTGCCCTTCACTCTCCTCACTCACTCCACCCTCATGGCCCTTCACTCTCTCACTCACTCCACCCTCATGGCCCTTCACTCTCTCACTCACTCCACCCTCATGGCCCTTCACTCTCTCACTCTCACTCCACCCTCATGGCCCTTCACTCTCTCACTCTCTCCACCCTCATGGCCCTTCACCCTCTCACTCCACCCTCATGGCCCTTCACTCTCTCACTCCACCCTCCTGGCCCTTCACTCTCTCACTCCACCCTCATGGCCCTTCACTCTCTGACTCCACCCTCATGGCCCTTCACTCTCTCTCTCACTCCACCCTCCTGGCCCTTCACTCTCTCACTCTCACTCCACCCTCATGGCCCTTCACTCTCTCACTCTCTCCACTCTCATGGCCCTTCACTCTCTCTCTCACTCCACCCTCCTGGCCCTTCACTCTCTCACTCCACCCTCATGGCCCTTCTCTCTCTCTCACTCCACCCTCATGGCCCTTCACTCTCTCCCCTCTCTCCACCCTCATGGCCCTTCTCTCTCTCACTATCTCACTCCACCCTCATGGCCCTTCACTCTCTCACTCTCTCACTCCACCCTCATGGCCCTTCACTCTCTCACTTACTCCACCCTCATGGCCCTTCTCTCTCTCACTCTCTCACTCCACTCTCATGGCCCTTCACTCTCTCACTCTCTCCACCCTCATGGCCCTTCACTCTATCCCCTCACTCCACCCTCATGGCCCTTCACTCTCTCACTCCACCCTCATGGCCCTTCACTCTCTCTCCACCCTCATGGCCCTTCACTCTCTCACTCCACCCTCATGGCCCTTCACTCTCTCACTTACTCCACCCTCATGGCCCTTCTCTCTCTCACTCTCTCACTCCACCCTCATGGCCCTTCACTCTCTCACTCTCACTCCACCCTCATGGCCCTTCACTCTCTCACTCTCTCCACCCTCATGGCCCTTCACTCTCTCTCTCCACCCTCATGGCCCTTCACTCACCCCTGTACACTCACCCTCCACTCACCCTCCACTCACCCTCCATTCACTCTCCACTCACCCTCCACTCACCCCCTCCACTCACTCCTGTGCACTCACGCTCCCTTTTCACGCTTTCCTTACTCAACTGGACTTTTCCAATCAAACTTTCCTCACTCTCTCCTCACACAATTATCCACTCACCTTCCCCTCCCTCACTCTCCCCTCCCTCACCCTTCCCTCCCTTGCTCTCCATTCACTCACGAACTCTCCCCTCCCTCACTTCCCCACCCCTCACTCTTACATCACTCTCCCATTATTCACCCCTCCCTCACTCTCCTCTCACTCACCCTTCACTCACTCTCCCCTCACTCACCCTCAATCACTCTCCACTCACTCACCCTCCCCTCCCTCACTCTCCCCTCACTCACTCTCAATCACTCACCCTCCCCTCCCTAATTCTCCCCCTCACTCACTCTCATTCACTCTCCCCTCACTCACCCTTCACTCACTTTCCCCCTCACTAACTCTCAATCACTCTCCTCTCACTCACCCTCCCCTTCCTCACTCTTCCCTCACTCACCCTCCCCTTCCTCACTCTTCCCTCACTCACCCTCCCCTTCCTCACTCTCCCTTCCTCACCCTCCCCTTTCTCACTCTTCCCTCACTCACCCTCCCCTTCCTCACCCTCCCCTTCCTCACTCTCCCCTCACTCACCCTCCCCTCACTCACCCTCCCCTTCCTCACTCTCCCCTCCTCACTCACTCTCAATCACTCTCCCCTCACTCACCCTCCCCTCCCTCACTCCCCCCTTCCTCACCCTCCCCTTCCTCACTCTCCCTTCCTCACTCTCCCCTTCCTCACTCTCCCCTTCCTCACTCTCCCCTTCCTCACTCTCCCCTTCCTCACTCTCCCCTCACTCATCCTCCCCTTCCTCACTCTCCCCTAACTCTCCCCGCACACCCTCACTGAGCGTTATTCTGACCGAGCGACTGCGCCCGTGATGTCTGACTGGCTACGCGGCTGACCCCGCTACCTGACGACTCTGTTCCTCACAACTCACGGCTGCTCACTAGAGCCACGCGAGTTCGATTCCCCAGCCTCGTGACCGACGCGGCGTGAGGAGGCCCTCATCATCCAGCAGTGGATTTCCACAATGTCAGTTTATTAGTTGATTGTTGAAGGTGGTTGCATGTGGTAAGGTGCAGCTTTGCTATTTCTGACCCACGCCACTGCTGCTGAATGGGCCCCCACTTAAAGAGACAGCGCTACTCTTCCATTTCTCAGAAGAAGAAGAGGTGGAATTAATTATTATTTGAGATAACGTCAGATGTAAAACTAAGTGATATTTATCGGGAAACAGCTTTTTACAATTCTCATCAGCCCACACGGTAAACAAGTCCGTTCTCCCACTCTTACCATCTCTTTTGGCCCATCCATGTGCTACGAAGGAAAGCTATTTCCCGAAACGTCGCCTATTATATTATCCTGTCAGGGTCATACAAACACACAGTTTAAAAAAAAAGGTGGAGTTTTCATTAATCATCATCGCACCACTAAGTATTCATGTCCCCTGCCAACACTAACAGGTTTGTGTAATTACACATTAATATTTTATATTTTTTCTTTAACCCCCCCCCCACCACACATTTGTTCCATGACTAACGAAAATGAAACTTAATATTTCGGTCGTAAAAGCTTATTTTTGTTTATACAGACAACATAAATCATTTTTTTAATCTTTATAACCAGTACAATGACATCATACACCAGGGCCCAAGGCCGCTCGTTACATAACGCAGCCGCGCCATCTCCGCCGGTTGACTGCTGCACCCAAGGGCCTGATTACGCCACAGGGGTTATTTTACCATACTTCACCACGCTGTCAATTGCCCTTTGAAGGCAGGGGAGCATAGGTGTGTGTATTACAACAACGTCCAGGAGCATCTTAACAACGCGCAGGTGGATTTGTTAATCACGTACGTGTGTATCGTACACGTCGTGCACTCCCACAAGCCAAATGTGTGGCTGATGGCTCTCTATTGTGTGGTGTGACTGACAGATTATTTTCCCCCAACATAAGCACGCGAACGGGTTGGGTCGCCGAAGGATTTCGTTTGGGCTCCACGAGCAAAGTCTTCCTCTTCCGGAAGAAGTCTTCCCGTTTACGGAAGCGTTACGATTCGAGAAGACGTCTCCTGTTTCTAGACGACATCTTCCCTATTGAAGGGGGAAGATTCCATACCATACTCTGTGATTGACAGGTGCAAGGCAAGTTTACGTTTTGAGAACTAATGCTTCCGATTTGAGAAGAAGTCTTCCGATTCGAGAAGACTTCGTACTATTCCAGTAGATTTCTTCCGATCCGAGAAGCAAATCTTCAAGATGATTTTTCGATTTAAAGCTTTCGTTACCGCAGGGATTAATCTTCTTGGTTCTTTCGGTAAAGTCACGTAGAAGGGAAATAATAAAATAAAAAATAAAACAATAAAATAAAATTCTCACGACGTTTCGGCCGCCGAAACGTCGTGAGAATTTTATTTAAAGTTTTTTTTTTATATTATTTTATTATTTCCCTTTCGGCCGCCGAAACGTCGTGAGAATTGTATAATGTTTAATTTTTATTATTTTATTATTTCCCTTCCGATGATTCTTAGGAAGGAAAAAAAATCCTTCCGATTCAGGAAGACGGCCACGTGGCCGATGGCAGTAAACCACGCCCCCCCCCCCAAATTACCGACGTCACTTCTGGTCACGTGTGGCGCGTCCGAGGCAAGATGTCCGCGCCGGGCAGGGAACACGTGGAGGAGGTGGTGGAGGAGGAGATGTCGGGCGAGGAGGAGGAAGAGGAGGGCGAGGAGGAAGAGGAGGGCGAGGAAGAGATGGCAGAGGGTAACGGGGAGTCGCAGCCCCGGGTGTACCTGCCTGGGCAGCCGCTCTCGGCGGGCGAGGAGTTGGTGCGCGACGACTCTGCCTACCACATGTACCACCAGGCGCAGACCGGTACGGGTCCGGGACAGGGGTAGGGTTAGGGCTATAGCAGGGTGACTGTGGGAAGAGTTAGGCTGACAGGGTAGAATCGGGTACGGTAGGGTTGGGAAGGGTCAGATTCGGTGACCCCCCAACTCTGCGGGCCGGGTCTGTAGAACGCGTGGCCCCACTCCGTATTGTCTCAGGGAAACTCAACTCCGGCCGCGGTGCTGAGCGGTGATGCAGACATCAGGCAGGGCCCACGATAAAAAAAAAATACTTCTACAAAATAAAAGTTGGACTTTAGTGAGGAAAAATAGGCCAAATACTCCGTAGAACTAGAACGAATGTCTAGAGTTACCGATAGTGGAGGCCCTGACAGCAGTAAAGTGAGCAAGATATTGTAGGGCGGCACCTTTACCTGTTTAAATGTTTGTATGGGGAGCGGTGGCGCAGTGGTATCGCGCGCACAGCATACACCAGTGACGATTTTCTGAACTGGTCATGGGCTTCCCCTAGGTCGACCCAGCCTCAAATAAGGACTAGTGCGGTGTATAAAATATCGCCACTGGGGAGACAAAGGCGGTTGGGCGTGGTGCTGGCCAACCATCCCCTGCCGTGTTCGGCCTTAACAGCACTTGCCCCAAAAGTCTGATAAGGCTTTACGGGGGATCTTTATCTTGTATGGACAAAGGGAGGTTGTAAGGAAAAAGTGGACAATTTATTGTTCGGGTGTCTCCGTGACAATGATGACTTGTCCACCGGCCGATGGGACGTTTTGAGAACTAAGACGCACCCCAAGCTTGTGTCCGGTGCCAATGAGCTCGTACAAATCTGGTGACACACCTACCGAATTATACAATTGGCATCTTTCTTCCCAGACCTGTTTTCTTAATGCTTCTGAAGTAATGCACTCTCGGAAGGCCGTGTAGCTGATGGAATGTTTAAACGTACTTTTATTTATTTTTATAAGGAGGGATAGATATTCATACCTGTCAACCCACACGGTTTATCCGTATTCTTGTACAGGGAAATTTAGTTTTCAGGTCCATACGGCGTACAGCCGTTTCCATACGGGCAAAAACATGTTTTTTTATCTATTTATTTCTCCCATGCGATGGTACTTTGTAGGATGAACGTTGAGATTTATAAGAGCACGGAGTGACCAATAAGGTCTGAATTGGTCTGTAAAAAGTAGGCACAGATAAGGGGTTTACAGGTATGGATATGGGAAGGGGGCGAATTGTCTGCTTATACTGGTAGGAACGAAGTTGTAAACTGAGTGTACCAGCCTGCAATAGATTAATGTGTCCGTCCGTCCCCTTTCAATACTTTAACGAAGTGAAATCTCGTGCTGTTGCGTGTAAAATCAGCAATAGACAGCGCAGAGACTTGTCCTACCAGCCTACCCTGCAGGGACCTGTTTTGTGCACCAACTTTTCCTTGAAAATGCAGGGGGGGGGTGAAGTTAATCTTATGATCTCGAGAATATAGTTCAAGTTTAAAGTTTATTCTGTCTTAACCAGGTAGTGAGAACATTCTCGTGTGCAAGTGTGACCTGGATCACAAAAATGACAAAAGCAAAACAAACTAAAAATAAAGTAGAGGAATGACGCAGTAGCAGTCGGAGCAAAAACAAGAACTGTGTTGTTGGGTGGTTTCTCTCTCTCTGCGCAGGGGCTCCGTGTCTCAGCTTCGCGTTCATCCCCGACGAGCTGGGCGAGCAGCGCACCGACTTCCCCCTGACCATGTACCTGGTGGCTGGGACGCAGGCCGACACGGCGCAGGCCAACAGGTGCCTGGGCCTTCTGATGGTCGGCAGGAGCGTTGCAGCCGCCATTTCCTTACCACAGCAGCTACTGAGATCCTCATTCGTGCCTTAATCACACCCCCACTGGACGTTTGCAACTCTCATCCACAGGCTCCCCCAAATCCCTCGGCCTCAAACTCCAGACGATGCAAATGCCGCGGACCAATTCCTCACACTTGTAAATGAGACCACGTCACTCTAATACTCCCGATCCCTCCACTAGTTCACAGTCCAATCCCGGATCAATATCAAGATCGCCCTCGCCGTTTTTAAGATCCATTGACTTTTCTCTGCCTGCCTGTTGCTTTCCAGTTCTCCCCACACTCTCCTACATCTCCCCAATATATCTCACTCCGCTCCCCTCCACATCCTCTGCCCACAGTCAACCTTCACGCAGTGGGTCACTCATTCTATTTTGCTGTGCTTCGTGACGTTATGTATTAAGGACAGTTGTGTATTCACATGCTCTTGATAGCTTTACCGATTTCCACAAAAAAATCTAAATTTTGGTTGCAGACTCTTGTCCTAATGCTTGTCCTCCCAGCAGTATACACAAATACACTGCAGCGTCGAACATTTGCTCACTGTGTGGTAGGCTAAATGGTGGATATTCCCACCTCTTACAAGATAGCTGGCCGGCATTACATAGTAAAAAAAAATAACCCCTAGAGGGACTCTCTATAGCTCTCTCCAGTGGAGGCCCCTGAGCCGGCAGTGGCGTGAGCATCAATGACGGGGTGTGCCATCTGTTCCCCGTGGCGATGGCCGTCCCGCACCCAGGCTGCTTGTGATGAAGATGTCAAACTTGTTGGGCACTGGCCGCGGTCGCGAGGAGGAGACTGCGGCGGAGGACGAGAGCAGCGACGACAGCGACGACGAGGACGCCAAACCGCAGATGGACACGGCGCTCATGCCACACTACGGTGCCGTCAACCGCGTGCGGGTGAGTGGTGTACTCTAAGGGTGAGCGGTGTGACGAGGGTGAGCGGGGGGACTCGAGCAGACGATCGATCAGTGGTGTTATGTTTGTAAATATGCGCCCGGTGCCCGCCGCCCGTGTTGCAGGTGTCGCGTGTGGGTGGGGTGGCGCTGGCGGCTGTGTGGTCGGACAAGGGCCGCGTGGAGCTGTGGGACCTCCGGCCCCAGCTCGCCGCCGTCGAGTCTCCGCAGGCGCTCGTGAGCTTCGTGCGCGAGAAGCAGAACGAGCTGAGCCCCGTCTTCTCCTTCTCGGGGCACCTCACCGAGGGCTTCGCGCTCGACTGGTCGCCCACCGTTCCCGGTGAGTGCCGCCTCCTCGCACTCCCGAGGTCACGCTTTCACTTCCCCGGTTTATAGCAAAACTTGGGAGGACCCCCCCCCCCCCCTGAAAGAGTGTTAAGATTTAGTGAGGCTCTCCTGGGTAAACGTGTAATAATAATGATAAATAATAATTTTAGCTTTCCAGCTAAAGCGAAAATTGCAAAAAGCTCTGTGCAGTGGGGAGCGCAACCACTTCCTCGATTTCCTGACTTCCCTTTTTATGCTGTCCAATCAAGGTTGACGGTGTTAATGTATTAGCTCTGTTAAGACGGTTTTTCTGTGTATGTCCATCGATCATCCTGTCTATAGCGGGGAGGGGGGGGGGGTCACAGTCGCTCCCTCCATTTCTTACCATTTCACTTCTTTGTAATGCTTTGTAGTTGACGGGGAAATTCCACGAGTGCTCTCCTTCGGCACGGGCAGCCACATTAATCTCGTGAACATGATCCAAAGCAAGCAGAAACAGTGTCAAGTTGTGTAGCCAATCGGGGTTTGCCCGTATAGAAAGCTGGTCAAATCGATTAAAGGATTTGCCGATCCTCGATCGCGTGACGAGTGTGGCTCTAACCCGTGCCATCCCCGTGCCCCCAACCCCCCCACCGACCCCCAGGCCGCCTGCTGAGCGGGGACTGCAAGAAGAACATCCACCTGTGGAGCCCGCGGGACGATGGCTGGCACGTGGACCAGAGGCCCTACACGGGGCATACTAAGTCCGTGGAGGACCTACAGTGGTCTCCTAACGAGGCGACGGTAATTAGCGGTCGCCTTGACGATTTCTACCCTCACCTTCCCCCCCACCCCGCCCCAGCCGCTCACTTCGTATTTACGCTCCGGGTGCCGGAATGCAAGTAGCGATTGTTTCAAGTCTCGTTTGCTAATAACAACTTAAAATTGTCGTGTTTATTTTGTATAACCAGGTGAGAATTTGAGATACTAAGATAGCAGTCTCATTTACAAGAGTGACTCGGGGTCACCAAAATGACAAAAGCTAAATAAATAAAGTAACAGCAATGTGCCCGGCCCGCGTCTTGCCGTTCTTGTCCTCGCGAGTTGACCGTGGTTGCCCCTCTCTGCTGCGTCGTTGCCGCGCAGGTGTTTGCGTCGTGCTCGGCGGACGCGTCGGTGCGCGTGTGGGACGTGCGCGCCGCCCCTGCCAAGGCGTGCATGCTCACTGCCGAGCACGCCCACGACGCCGACGTGAACGTGATCGACTGGAACGGGCGTGAGCCCTTTCTGGTCTCCGGCGGAGACGACGCCCTCATCAAAGTCTGGGACCTGCGCCAGTTCCAGGTACCGGGGGGGCCCTCATGATGCGGCTCAGAGTTGGCCCACGTTTGCCACTCATTGCAGAGGTTTTCACCCCCGGTTGGAATCCGGCAGGCCGCCTCGGTTATTGCTGCGGCATGTGTGTACTGTACGATTATGATGCGCTGTCTGCTTCACAGCTGAAGTTTAGAATCCAAATTGGCCCAATTCGAAATGTTGCCTGCAAATTACTCCATTGGGATTACACGCGCAGCAGCGATCGTCACCCCCTACTCGTAAGCTGGGTGCCGAGATAGCCGATACCGCAACAGGGCACCCCCAGGGACAGCTGTCGCTAGGAGTGTCCTTTCCTCAAGGACAGCTGTCGCTAGGGGTGTCCTTTCAATTGTTTGAGATGACACGCAAGTCGCTCATCACGCGTGTGAAGTGCTCGGACGCCCCGGTGTAAAGGAGAGCGCTCTATTGCAAACAAATTGTGATTAATGGACATCCCAGAAAAAATATAACCGACCTGGAGTATGCGTCCTAAAAATACCGGGGCTAATTCAGGGCTGGGGCACCCCAGAATGTGATTTATTACAAAACTCCATGATTTCCATAAAGACCACATTTAGTCCATTGACAGCTGGCAAATCAACATCCATCTCCTCGCTGCTCTGAAGCTCACGTTGCTCGCCGTGACGTCTTCAACCACCGTCTGCTGCGTTCTCCGATTTCATTGTCGTCCGAATCGTTTAGCAGAGTTCTGTGAATTAAATCTCAAGTATCGCACCTCTGGCAAGACGTGCACGGCGTGACGTGCGGCGTGGAACATGCGATCTGACACGTGCACCCTTGTCACCCCTCCTCCCCCCTCCCCCCCCCGTGCATGCGCACGTGAGCAGAAGGGTGAGCCCGTGGCGCGTTTCAAGCAGCACACCGCCCCCATCACGTCGGTCGAGTGGCACCCGGGCGACAGCTCCGTGTTTGCGGCATCGGGCGCCGACGACCTCCTCACGCAGTGGGACCTCGGCGTCGAGAGCGACGCCGAGGCCGTTGGCGGCGACACCCCCGGGGAGCTGGCCTCCATCCCCCCCCAGCTCCTCTTCATCCACCAGGGCCAGAGCGACATTAAGGAGTTGCACTGGCACCCGCAATGCCCCGGCGTCATCGCCAGCACGGCGCACAGCGGCTTCAACGTCTTCCGCACGGTCAGCGTCTAATAACCGCGAAGCAGTGACGGAGGAGAGGACACCGGCTGAAACCTGCAGCCGTGGCAGTGGTTGGGGGAAAAAATAAAAACAAGAAATGAACTACGACTCTTTTGCACAGCTGGCCAGAAGAGCAGCGAGCTACTAGAATATTATTCTGCTATCTGAACTCGATTATTAGATTTTTTTATCCCCCCCCCCCCAGCTTCATTCCGATTGTGATATCGGCATCGTTTAATGGAGTCTCGGTGCCCCGTGCCATGGGATAGTGAAGGGTCCACTGAAGAAGTAAACACAGGACTACTTCTGGAATCTCTTATCCACATGTGGGAGCACCCTGCTACAGGAAATTCCAACTTTTATTATTTTTAATTCTCAGCTGGAGTTTAGCCAAATTAAGAGAGGAAACAATTTCACGTGATGGGGGTGTTTTACGCAGTCATCGGTTATCAGGCTGAGAACATCAACTCGCTTCACCCGAGGACCCTGAACAATCGCAGGCATCCAACACTCGGATTGGAACTCGGGCTCTCTCGGCGGTGCCGGCTCAACGTCTTGGACCACTCAGCCACATGGCCGCCTTGAATTGACACCGATGGGGTTTTATGATGGTTTATTTGTAGATGAAACCTTCAACTTGCTACACTTAAGAATCGGGTTGAAACACAGGCGGCCGAATCCCGGCTCCGAGCCCAGGGCACCGGCTCGGCACCTCCGACCCACCCGGCCAATTCCGATTGAGCAGCCTCCAGTGGGGCTTGGATTCCTGGTCTGGTTGGGTAACACTGCTACCACCGTACCCCGCTTACAAAGTAGAGTTCACCGCAGCTGCAACAGCTCCGAGCGTGTCTGCCCTGCCCCGTCTCCCCGTCGCGGTGGGAACTCTTTTAGCTTAACGGTCGACGCGCGGCGGATGACCCAGTGGCGGTCACGAGGCGCCTCGGTGTGTTTTTCTTGTAACGTGATTCCGCCGGTGTGGGGGAAGGGGCGTTAGAGATGCCTGCGTGGTCACGTAACTCCGCGGTTGCGTAGGAAATAAAAGCGAGCTATTTACACGACGCTTCCTCCGTCACCGTTTTTGAAAGAATGAGGCTTTGGCCGGTTTGAGTGTAGCATTGTTCTGTAACGATTCGTCGTCGGGTGGTTCTACGCGACACAACAAGCAAGCATACTCGACTGCTGCCGAGACGCTGAATGTCAAAACAGGTCTATGTAGCTTCTATTGGACCAATGCTGCCTCAATGATGCACTTTTCAGAAGACTGGCTGATGGGATGTGTAAAAAATATATACTTAATGTTTGTGGAGGTGGCAAATTGTCTGCTTATTCATTAATCGGTTATAAGAGTTTTATCTTGATACGTAGAATTGTGGAAATGATATGCAAATTTTGGGTGGATTTTAGCGCAGACCACTGCACTGTTGACCTGGCCGCCTGGGGTTCGATTACTCGGCACCAAGCCGGGAGTGAAATGCCAATACACAAGGGTGGTAATTAAGCTTCTATGGCGATCAAGCAAATTAACAATAACAGCAGTCTGAGCAGTAAACACAAGTGCATGTTCTCTATTGCCAAGAAATTCTGGTCTGCTCTGCTTTTGAAATGGGGAGGTGGTTCGCACGTTGCACAAAAAACAACTACCAGAGTTCAAATCCTGGCCAGAGCCAAGATCAATGGCAAGTGTACTGTATCTCAAACCATGCACTGACCAGGGTGGTGAAGTATGGCCAAACAATTACCATAACCACCAAGGCATGGGGAACTCCCCTCATCCGGCAGTGGGGTGACGAATGGGGCTGCAAGCTATTTTGTTGATTTTTTTATACTTTCAGGATTAGGTTCACGCATTAAGGAACTCTGTACAAACGAGAAAAAAAGAGCGAGACTACGAAACCATCCGTCCTGGATCGTAAGGAGTCGCAGGATTTGCTGAGGGTTGCTTGGGACCAGACTCCCGTCCCCCCACTCCTCGGCCTCTTATTCACCACGAGCCGGGCAGCCAGAGGTGTTGCGTTACGCGATTGATGTTGCAGCTTGGCTGTGGGAGGGGGGAGGTGAGAGGTCAGCAGTGGCGTAGCTAAAGAGTGTGCAGGCGGCGCAGACCCCACGTATCCACAGCGCGGTGGGGGGGGCTAAATTCCAACAGCGCAGAGGTGGTTGGAGGTTCAAAGTTGGAGGTTTTATTTTGGTTGGAGGTTAAAGAATGAGCTCTTGGTGTTTGTGATATTTCACGGAGGAGGAGGAGGTGGTGGGAGGCTGAAGCTGCGACATTGGAGGTCGCGGGTCGGAACTTGCCGGTTGGGCAAGGGCTGCGGTGGTCACTTCCAGCCACTCCACTGCAGGGACGTGTAGCGGACGCCGTCTCGGGGCATCGGCGAGCACAGCAGCACCGTCTTCTTCACGTTGCTGCCGAGACGCGCGGCCGCGAGCAGCTCGACGAGCGCCATCGGCCGCTCGTCGTCGCGACACAACGCGATGAAGTGCGAGTGGAAGCGCAGGGGGTCTCCTGCAGATGCGCGCCACGAGAGATTAGCGGAGCGGGTTCGACCTTGCCAACAGCTGGCCTGAAATGATAATGGTTAGGGCTGGTTGGTATTGTCCCGAAAGCGCCGCGTTTCACAGACGGATGCAGTCTGTCAGGAGGGAGCGATATTGCCGTGTTAATCCCAATTCTGAGTAATTTATGGGTAATTTTCTGATTTGGCAAATTTTGACCGTGATGCCGACACAATGGACCACTCGTTTCGCAATGGCATCGGGGGATCCTTAGCGTCCGCTGTGAAGCAAATGGTGCGTTTGTACCGTGAATACACCGGAAGGATTAACCAGGGTGGCCTGCCAGATACGAACCTCCGCAACACACACATCAATGACGTTTTATGGAAATCGTCACTGGCAATGAGTGTATAAACACATTGCAATGGCGTTTGCAAAACATCCAAAAATATCGGACTACAAAGCTTGCGCAATTGTTAGTGGCGCCGGTTCAGGCATCCTTTCTCGCTTGTCCGGTTTCCTGCACCCACCCACCACCCCCCACGTGCGAGGACTGCGCGCGTTACAACTTCTACAGCTTTCGATTTAAAGCTTTCGTGACTGCAAGGATTCATCTTCTTTGGTTCTTTCGGTAAAGTCACGTAGAATGAGAATAAAATAAAAAAAACAATAAAATTCTCACGACGTTTCGGCCACTTGTGTTGCGGCCGAAACGTGAGAATTTTAGTGTTATTTTATTTTATTATTTTATTCTCATTCTACGTGACTTTACCGAAAGAACCAAAGAAGAACTTCTACAGCGGCGGCGTCTTCATATCTGCCATATGAAATCATCAATAGGGGCCATCCATTTAGTACATACGCAAAAATCTGTCAAAACTTGATCCCTCCTTGCACGCACGCGGACTTTTTACACCCCCCCCCCCTCCCATCTGCGTACGTTCGCTTGACCCGCCCCCCCCCCCCCCCGTCCGAATCCTATAGAACGGCCGATATTTAATCCAGGCAGAAACGATGAAGGATTAATAATATTAACGTTCTGATGATGATTGCAATCGAAACGTATGCTATTACTTAATTTCTTTTCCTTTCTACGTGACTTTACCGAGAGAACCAAAGGGTAATATTAACGTGCTTAAGCAGCAAACAGTCCACCGCCGGACTATCTAACTCATTTGAAGGTCAATGTAGACAAATTATTATAGAGGCTTCACCCGCCCCCCCCCCCCGTTTCCTATGCGTACATTGTCAGCAGACCTCCCCCCGCCTCCCCGCTCCATGCGTACGGACTAAACGGATGGCCCCATAATAGTCGCAGCATTGCTTCCACGTTAACCAAAAACCTCTTAGGGGCAGGTCGCGTCAAGTGTGGACGCGACCTGATGGCTGCTCTCCCCTCCCCCTAGCGGGCGGTCGCCGCTGCTCTTGTTCGGGCTAGGGGGCCAGGCTAGGGGGCCGGGCTAGGGGGCCGGGCTAGGGGGCCGGGCTAGGGGGCCGGGCTAGGGGGCCGGCCAAGGGGGCCGTACATAAATGACGTCACGAGATTTTGGACGATTGTTGACCCCCCCTCCCCTTTTCGTCACAGGGCGTCACAAAAAGTCAGACCCCCACCCCCCCTCAAATATGACGTCACAAAGCTCTGCCCCCCCCCCCAAATAAAATATGCTTCAAATCGCTTTAAACTACTGTCATTGTAGTGCGGATTTAATGTGGCGCTGCACTCTGATGTTGTAGGAGAAAACATTTATTACAAAGTCTATTTAATTAAGTAGAACGTGTTGTCTGTATCTATTTAAAGTTGCGCATTTTGATGTGACGTCACATTTCTCAACCTCCCCCCTCGTCACACATCGTCACAAATGTCTGACCCCCCCCCCCCTAGGTGCGTGACGTCATTTATGGACAGCCCCCTAGGGGTGTCCCTGGGTGGGGGCCCTGCACTACCAAATGTCCCTGTGGCCTCTCACCCCCCCCCCCCAACAATCCGCTCAGCGTACCTGGTAAGATAAGACGAAGTTTATTTTTTTTATTTTTATAAATAAAAGCTCTTTGTTTACCTTTCCTTTCCTATACTTTGCATTCCTATTGCTTTTGTATTGTTTGTTGTAACGTTATGACCTGCCGCTACCGGAGAGCTTTACAGCTCATCGGATTCCTCCAGTATTCAATAAACCTTCTGATACCCAGACTCCCACGGATCGAACTCAACCCCCCCCCCAAACCACAGCAACGCGGAAATTTCCCCGGGCCCCGTGAGCACTTGCGCAGCGCGGCGACTTCTTTCGCACCGTACACGTGGCCAACCGTACCGGGGTAGACGAGGAAGTCTCCCCCGAACTTGGCGCCGCTCGTGAGGTGCAGGCCGCGCCGCTGCAGGTCGCGGTAGACGCGGTAGCGCAGCTCGTGGTGCGGCGCGATCGGCGGGTGGGCCCACGGGGCGGAGGCCGCGCGACACTCCACGACGCGCAGCGCGGCCCGCGACGTGCGCACCTGCACCAGCATGCTCTCGCGCGTGAACTGCAGCCCCGCATCGTCCTCATCATCATCATCGTCCTCGTCGTCACCGGCGGCAGCAGCAGCAGCGGCGGCGGCATTGTCCTCCTCGGCCTCCTGGCCGGCATCGCGGTGGTCCGCGCACGCCTCACCAAGCTCCATGCCCTCCTCAAACTTTTGCTCGCCCCTCTCACCCGTCGTCACCTTGTCCCTCTCGCCAGCATCCTCAGTAGGTTCCACGTCCAACTCAGGTCTCTCCTCAAAGTCGCCCCTACCTCCTCCACCACCACCACCCATCCCGTCTCCACCCCTCGTCTCTCCTCCTCCTCCACTGCCGTCGCCGCGTCCGCCCCGCGCCCTGCGCCGCTTCGCCTCGCGTCCCCGGGCGATGGTGTCGGCCAGATCCCCCCGCATGCGCGCCCTGCGCTCCCGAATGGCGAGGCGCCTCTGCTCCCTGAATCCACGTTCCCGTTCCTCCTCCAGCTCCTGCACCCTGCGCTCCGTCTCCTCGCCGCCGACCGCCGCCGCGGGCCTCACGAGAACGGCGGCTCCCGTCTCGGCCAGGAGCCTCGCTTCCTCGGCCATGAGGATCACGGGGAGGCCCAGGCGCGAGTTCTGCCGGGGCTGCCGCGCCAGGGAGCCCGCGGGGGAGCCCGCGATCCCGTGCCGCTCCCGGAGATCGCGCGCATCGGCCGCGCTCCACAACAGCGCCGCGCCGCCCGCGGACACGTGCACGAGCAGCGGGGGCACGCCGCGGGGTCCCTCCTCCTGGTCCGACATGACCCGACCCTCTCACCCCCTCACCTGACTCCCTGTCCCGACCTCACCGCCGTCCTCACCTCAACCCCTTGACCTGACCACCTCAACCCCTTGACCTGACCTCACCTGGGGTTACTGATGCAATCCCGCTGCTGGCTGTCCGCGTGTTGAACTGAGCGCGGTTATTGTTGTTTCAAGAGCCTGATGAAGAGAGACGATTGGGAGGAGGGGGATTTCAAAGTGTTGGGAGTGCGAGGGACTAAATAAGTGTTGTGACCTGCGGTGTGGCGAGGGGATGAATGAGGTGGGTGAGCGAGTAGGTGGTCAGTTCACGTGTAATTGTAACCCGTTTTTGTGGCGGTGGAACTCGGTTGTAGATTGATCTGACCTGACCGCTTTGGTCGGGACCGTCTCTCTGCCCTCCCGGCCTCACCGCCCGCTGCAACTGCAACCCCTGAACCGGCTGGAGGGGGGGAAGTCCCCCTTACACTACCATACGATGTCTGTAAACCCCTGATGGCCCCCTCAGAATTCACCTCCCTGGCCTTACCTCTTCGGCCGGGCCTTGCCCCCCTCTCGCTGCCCTTCTCGTCCCTGCCCTTCGCCCTTCCCCCCCCCTCCGTGCCCCGTTCGCCGGTTCCCCGGATGAGACGAGCGAGTGAAGAAGCGTGGCTCGGGCTAGCGGCCCCCTCACCCCAGCCACACGTGGCCGGCGAAGGGGACCCCCGTGGGCCGGCCGTCATATGGAGGCGACGGAGTCCGCACCGAGGCCCCCCCCCTCCACCCCCACGTAACATGGCCGCTCTGTTACTCAGAGTCATGATGACGTTGGAGGGAGGGGGGTGGTGACCATGACGACGGTGATGGTAACGATGACGACGGTGATGGTAACGATGACGACGGTGATGGTGACGATGACGACGGTGATGGTGACGATGACGACGGTGATGGTGACGATGTTTAAAGATGATGGTGGTGATGGTGGTTGGTGGTCGCGAGGTCTTGTGAAGAGGGCTTGGTTTAGCGGTCAGCGCGCTGCGTTGCGAACCCGGCGACCCGAGTTCGATTCCAACTCACGACCACCGGACACCCAGTGACGATTATTTGAACCGGTCCTGGGCAGCCCCTAGGTCGACTCAGCCTCAAATGGAGTGCATGGTGTGGTGCGTAACACATCGCCACTGGGGAGACAAAGGCGGTCGGGCGTGGTGCTGGCCACTCAACCCTCCTCGTGCCACGATGTCGGCCTTCATAGGTGCTCGCTAACAACGTATTGGTGCAGCGCCCCTAAAGGACGAGCCCCATTCACGCACCCCAACAAAATCATCCCCCCTCGTCACTACTAGGGGGATCTTACGCGATCTGGGAGGGGGGGGGGGTCTCTTGAGGGACGCGTGGGATTGTTGGGGACCGGCGATAAGGGGGGTCTTGAAGCTCAGGAGAACCAGGGGATCGGTGACTCGGACCGAGGGATTCAGAGGGAACGCGAACGAGAGGGGGCCTGGAATAGGGTGCATAGATCGGTACTGAAGGAAGGGGTCGACCACAGCACGCGGAGGACCCAGCCGGGCACAGCCTGAAGCGAAAGTGGATTGAGTTTAGGGGGACCGCGGGAAACCAGGATGAGTGAACCACCCGGTGAGGCTGAGGGGACAGGGGGGGGGCCGAGGGGATCTTGGGGAGGGGGGTGGGACCGAGGGGGGCTTGGGGAGGGGGGTGGGACCGAGGGGATCTTGGGACTCCGAGGAGGGCGGTCCCCACTGCCACGTCTTCCCGCTTCCCTCTACTCGCGCCCCCGCAACCCTTCCAGCCCGCCCTCTCTGCATCTTGTGGCGTGGCACTGCCCAGCATCAACGTGCCCCCCACCCCACCCTGTGGTGTTACTGTTAACACAATATAAACTTTATTTCGATAGTTTCTGTATTCGACAAGAGCCCCCCGTCGCCGCCGCCGCCGCAGCCTCCCGTTGCGGCCTACTAATCGCTGCAGGCCGATCGCGCGCGTTCCCCGGCGGAGCGACTAGGCGAGACCCGGGGAGGTGGTAGGGGGGTGTCCGACCTCGGGGACTCGAGGCGCTTCTCTCTGTGCACACCCTCACCCCCCACGTCTCGTTTCTATCATCCACCTCGGCATCCCCTCGGGGTCTCTTCCACCATCCACCTCCACCCTCCTCGCGAAGATGGCCGTGACGAGCTGGGGGCTGACGATAAACATCGTGAACAGCATCGTCGGCGTGAGCGTGCTCACGATGCCCTTCTGCTTCAAGGAGGTGAGAGGAGGGGGGGGTGGTGGACTTTGTGTGGGTAGCAGGGGGACGGAGCTGCTTGCCGTGTTCACTGGTGGCCGGGGGCGGGGGGGTGTCCCATCGAGGCACCTATTCGCGTGGTTCTGCGTCCAGTTGCGGCACCCTGCCGCCGAGGGTTCCAATGCGTCCCTGCGTTCTACTTTTGCGCGTGTCTCGATTCAACTGGGGCGCGTGTCACATGCGTCTCGTGTGCCACCTGCGACTCGTGTACCTCTTTGTTGCTCTGTCTTATGTTCCACGGTGGCGAGATCTTAGCCAATCTCGCCTGGTACGCAAGGAGATCGTGTGTTCGATGCCCACCGTGACGCCTTGTAATACTTGGAGTTTGCGTGTCTCTCTCCCCGTGGTCGCGTGGATTTTTCTCCCGAGTCCTCCGGGTTTCTTTTTTTTTTCAACATTTAGAAACACGCGTTTCGAGTATTACTTTCGGCTGCTATTATTGTCCACGTGTTAAGCCACTTTGTTGAGCTGTTATTTGTGGCCAGGTCGTTATGTAGGTCAGTGGGCCTTACCTGGTAATATAAAATAGTTTAGTTTTTTTAATAGTTCCACCTGTATCCGTCTAATATTCTACTGGAACACTTGTCCCTGTGTCTCATGTACACGTGTCCCTGTGTCTCATGTTCCAGGAGTCCCTGTGTCTCTTGTTCCACGTGTCCCTGTGTCTCATGTCCACGTGTCCCTGTGTCTCATGTTCCACGTGTCCCTGTGTCTCATGTCCACGTGTTCCTGTGTCTCATGTCCACGTGTCCCTGTGTCTCATGTTCCACGTGTCCCTGTGTCTCATGTCCACGTGTCCCTGTGCCTCATGTTCCACGTGTCCCTGTGTCTCATGTCCACGTGTCCCTGTGTCTCATGTTCCACGTGTCCCTGTGTCTCATATCCACGTGTCCCTGTGCCTCATGTTCCACGTGTCCCTGTGTCTCTTGTTCCACGTGTCCCTGTGTCTCATATTACACGTGTTCCTGTGTCTCACGTCCACGTGTCCCTGTGTCTCTTGTTCCACGTGTCGCTTGTTTCTTGTTCCACGTGTCCCTGTGTCTCATGTTTCACGTGTCCCTGTGTCACGTGTCCCTGTGTCTCATGTCCACGTGTCCCTGTGTCTCATGTCCACGTGTCCCTGTGCCTCATGTTCCACGTGTCCCTGTGTCTCATGTCCACGTGTCCCTGTGTCTCTTGTTCCACGTGTCCCTGTGTCTCATGTTCCACGTGTTCCTGTGTCTCATGTTCCAGGAGTCCCTGTGTCTCATGTCCACGTGTCCCTGTGTCTCATGTTCCATGTGTCCGTGTCTCATGTTTCACTTAAGAGACATATCACGCGTGTGTCGGGTTCCACTTGATGGGTTTGGATGGGGCTGCCCACCCCCGGTGTTCACTGGCTCTCGTAGAGGTCATTGCCCACTCACAGCTGTGTCCCTTCTCACTGCCCGACAATAACAGCCTCACGTCACCTGCAGTATCTCCCAGCACCTGTGCGTGACAGCTCCATTCATGCATCCGTGCATGGAGATGCATGAATGCAGTTGGATGGCTGCCCAGGGCTGCTACAGTTTTGATGACCGAATGAAACTCACAATCAATAAAAACCGCACAAGATGTCGACTAGACATAGACTGTGACTGAAATATATCTGCTGACCACACCACCCCGTTCTGCATCGTGCCAGCCTTGAGAGGTGCTCGTGAACATAATTTTCCTAAACAATCTTAATGAAGCTACTCTGGGGATCGTGTGTTGGGAGCGGCAGTGCAGTGGTTAGTGCGTACTGTGCTACGAACCCGGCAACCTGATTTCGATTCCCACTCACGAGCAACACAAGTGACGATTATTTGAGCCGGTTCTCGGCCTCCACTACGTCGACTCGGCCTCAAATGATTACCTGGTGCAGTGTGTAAACATCAGCACGGGGGTGGGGGATCTTTGACTTTGTATGTGCGCAGTGTGGTGTGGTGCTGGGCACGGCGCTGCTCCTCTTCTGCGCGTGGATGACGCACCAGACCTGCATGATGCTCGTCAAGACGGCCTTCGCCACCAAGCGCCGCACCTACGTCGGCCTGGGTACCCAGCGCTCATCCCTCGACGCCGCACGCCCCACCGCGCCACCCGCGGGCATGGCCAGAGTTGTCATCTTTAACGAGAGGCGTTGCCGTTCCGTTAATCAGAGCGAGAACGATGACGTAACTTTGCGCAGAACTTCCAGTGGAACCCTCCAGATAAAATATTTTTAAAATGTTTTTTTACACACCCCATCAGACACACGGCCTTCTGGGAGCGCATGACTGTTACGGTTGGCTCAGGACGGTGCGAAAGAAGTTAGATTATCATGATAGTTTCCATTTGTGTACGTTTCAAATGGAGAGTGAAATGTGTTTTAACATGCGCATGTGTGTGCGTGTTTCCCAGCCTACCAGGCATATGGGCACCCGGGGAAGCTGCTTGTTGAGGCCAGGTGAGAACTGAACGGCCAACGGTGTTAAGTGTGACTTTCTCGTTCATTCATTATCTTTAACTACTCACAGACCACTCCCCAGAGTTGCAAATCCATCTCAATAATCGATTCCTTTTCCTGTTGTTTGTATCGTTTCTAATTTTTCTATCTGGTTTGTATAATTTATCTCCCTTAGCGAGAGATTATTGTATTCGCTCATAATTAATGTTAAATAAATCATGTACTGCCCTTTGTTAAGCCACTTGAGGAGGAAGGCTTCCCCATTCTGTGTTGGTCATGAGAGTTATTTGACCATACTTCACCATGCTGGTTAGGGCAGGTTGGTAAGGGCGGGTGCCCAGGGATGGCTCCGATATCACTGGCCATGTGCCATGAAGGCTAATGGAAAGAATTGAGGCATAGCAATCAAGACAAACAATACAAACGAGACGAGGACGGTGTTAAACAAGGCAAAACAAACGAGATGCAAAGTATCGGCTCTCTTAGAATCGGCGCGCGATCCTGCAGCGTCGTCCCTAACGCTCCTCCGTGCCGTTGTGCTGCGCCCACCGTGCTCCTCTCGCGGGCAGCATGATCGGCCTCATGCTGGGCACGTGCATCGCCTTCTACGTCGTCATCGCCGACCTCGGATCCAGCTTCTTCGGACGCCTCCTCGGGGTCACCGTGAGCACAGCGCACAAACACACAGACGGTCCCTAGCAAAGGAGGGGTCCTTCGTTATTTGTAGTTATCCTTTGATTATGTGTGTGTATGTTGAACTTCTTTCGCACCGTACGTAGCCAACAGTGCTAATCGGAGGTGCGGGGGAAGGACAACAAATTAAACTTGAAAGCAGTTCTCAAGAAATTAGTTTTCAATCTAGATGATTTAAAAGTGCATTGCTCCAGTGGCATCCTAATATCGGAAGGAAGAGCGTTCCAGACGGCTGCAGACGCGCATTGGAACACGCGTGATGCAGTGACCTTCTTTGTTTGATGGATAGCCAAAAGCCGCATGCGAGGATGACTGGAGTTCGTGTAATGGTTTTATGTTCCTTGACGAGAAGTGAGATTAATTAGTGAGATGAGAGTGAGTAGTTGTTTGTTGTTGTTTCCATGGAGGAAGTATTGCTAATTGCTCATAAGGGGCCGTCCATAAATGTCGTCACACACCTAGGGGAGGGGAGGGTCAGACATTTGTGACGATGTGTGACGCGGGGGTGGGGGTTTGAGAAATGTGACGTCACATCAAAATGCGCAACTTTAAATGAATATAGACAACACGTTCTACTTAATGAAATAGACTTTTTAATACGTGTTTTCTCCTACAACATCAGAGTGCAGCGGCACATTAAATACACACTACAATGACAATAGTTTAAAGCGATTTGAAGCATGTTTTATATTTTTTTGTGGGGAGGGGGGCAGAGCTTTGTGACGTCATATTTGAGGGGGGGGGTCTAACTTTTTGTGACGCCGTGTGACGATGGGGGTGGGGGGGGTCAAAAATCGTCCAAAATCGCGTGACGTCAATTATTTGACGGCTCCTAAGTGAGCGTGTTGATTGTTGTGCCTGTTAATTGGTTCGACGAGAATGAGTGTGTGAGTGTGGCTCGTTGTTGCTGAGGTTGTGGTCTCGTTAATTAGTGAGATGTACGTCTGTTGAACTTCTTTCCCACCGTTCGTAGCCAACTGTGCCAATCGTAGGTGCGATGGGTTGGGAGTGTTGTTTTGTAATAATTGTTATCGTGGGGGAGGTGTAAGTAATTGCTAAGATGAATGATATTTGTTTGTTGTTGTCGTGGTGGAGGTTTCGTTTGGGTTCCGCGCGCTCCTCTTGCTGGCCGTGGCCTCACTCATCGTGCTGCCCATCAGCCTCCAGCGCAACCTCATGGCCTCGCTGCAGGCGCTCAGCGCCATGGCGCTACTCTTCTACGCCTTCTTCGTGCTTGTGGTCAGTACCGCAGTCGCCGGCGCCTCGCAGCTCGCACGCCCGATATTGACCGTCGCCGGCGCGCACCGCAATCCATCCATCCACTGCCAGATGAGGGACCCTCTCCCTCTAGCCAGCGCCACCTCTCGCAGTCACGCGGCGCAACAATTCGGCTAGCTCCTGCGCACGAGCCGATTTCTGGCTGGGTCTAGGAAAGGCTCCTCTACATTTATGAAAGGTTCCTCTACTGTCGACCCCATACACCCTGAATGTCTCCTGAGCAGAATCGACAGTGTCACCCACCAAGCACGATCACGCTACTGGTGGCCGCAGGCCTTTGTCCTCACGCTGTTGCCAATTCTCGCCATTACGTGACGCAACAATCTGTCCAGCAACTGGACATGAGCTTAATCTTGTCGCTCCCTCTCCGCTAAGTCGTTCTCGTTTGGCCGTGCGGATCCAAATTGCGTTGTGCTTGTTGTGAATTTTTTATTTGTAATTTTTTTCTGTCTATGTGGCTTTACCGAAAGACCCAAAGAATACTTGTTATGAATGTCAACTGTAGCGTGGGTGTGAGCTTAAGGTTAGGTTAGCGAACTGCCCTCCCCCGCTCCAAAATAAGCATTCCCATTTAGATATTCTTTACATTCACATTACATTGTATTGACTTAGACAGAGACCATTAGACTCTCATAGAGACTTATATAGCCACACAGGAACCCACAGACTTGCATAGAGACCTACAACTGCCTTTATACAAATAAATATGGCTGTTCCTGTCCAGCTTCTTGATATCCAGTCACGTTTAGACAGGGTGATGTAAATCCACATTGCTGTTGTGTTGTATAAGAAATACTGTTGAGATTTGTTGCCAGGTTACTGTGTGTGTGTGAACCTCTGTGGTGCCAGCCTCACCCATTGAGCACATGGCGAGCCCTCACCTCTTCTGCCATTACTAACGCTGCACAGACCATGGCCTAAGTGGTCCTGTCATGGCTTCCACAGCTCCAGCAAGCGTGCGCGTGCATGTGCGTGCGTGTGTGCAGGCATATCTGTGCGTGTGAGCGTGTGCGCTTGTGCAGGCGTACCCATGTGTGTGTCTGTGCGCGCGTGCGTGTGTCCAAGCATACGTGTTCGTGCGTTCCTGCTTGTGTGTTTGTTCATGCTTGTGTGCGTGCGCCTGTGTTCGTGCTTGCGTACGTGCGCGTGTGTTCGTGCTTGTGTTCGTGTGCGTGTGTTCGTGCTTGTGTTCGTGTGCGTGTGTTCGTGCTTGTGTTCGTGCTTGCGTACGTGCGCGTGTGTTCGGGCTTGTGTACGTGCGCGTGTGTATGTGCAAATGTGTGCGTGCGCGTGTGTTCGTGCTTGTGTGCGTGCGCGTGTGCTTGTGTGCGTGCGCGTGTCTTCGTGCTTGTGTGCGTGTGTTCGTTTGTGTGTGCCGCGCGAGAAAACCCCTCTGGCGTGCTTTGCGTTGCCTTAGATAGCTCTCACATCCCTGCGTTACGGCCTCTTTGCGGGCGGATGGATGAGACGAGTGCACTATTGGCGCCCGGCCGGGACCTTCCGCTGCCTGGCGCTCTTTGGCACAACCTTCCTGTGCCACCCGTAAGTAGCCGGGCCCGTTTGCACGACGTCGGCCGAGGCACGCCGCCGCCCCCACTTTGATCGGCGGGAGCAGAGAGCCAAATCTCGGCCATTTCACCGCCGTTCTCCTGGCCGAAAAATGTATCAGACTTCCTAACAATGATTTGCGATGGCCGGAGTGGTTCTGACGTCGCCGAGTGGCGCAGGGCGTCCTACGGGAGTCCGCTCCTCGCCGATTAAACCGCGGGCCACGGCGTTGCTTGTGCCGACATGTGGCTGCGCGAGGGGCGGTGGGCGGTAAGGCCTGCCGTCTCTCTCTCTCTCGCGTGCGAGAGGGCCAGCGTGGATCGGGGGGGGGCGCGGCTTGGGCTAATGACGCGAGGCTGCGGCTGGAACGGCTAGGCTCACGAACCGCCTCGTCGCGCGATTTACAAACCGCAGTGACGAGAGGCGGACACGTGGCTCAGAGGTCAGAGGCACGCAGGACCACCTGCTGAGATCCTGAGTTGGAGTTTTCAGCTGCTTTTGGTCGCCAGTATGGAAGCGACTTGAAAAGCAGTTCTATGATATCTGCTTCCATGGGGTATAATATCCTTATCTGAATGGGCCGACGGCACCATTGGAAATGTAATGGGAACTCAAGAGCGAGAACTGTACTGTTCTGTGGCGTGAGACGTGGCGTGTCAATTGAACAATCCCGGGTGCGTCGAGTGTACGCCGTCTCCGTCGCTGTCGCTGGCGCCGGGGTTATCCGTGAGCGCAGCCGTCCCAGCGCAGCGAGCAGCGCCAGCATCCGTTTCCAAACCCCAGCGGCGCGTTCCTTCGGTCATCGCCTGCCCCTCCCTCCTGTACTCCCGAGTCGGTGCCCTCTCCTTACTCCTCGTCCCCGTGATGCTGGGAATGGTTCCGGGCCGCAGGCTATTTATTTATTTACTTTGGTGGCGCCAGCGGAGCGAGCGAGTTGAGCAACACTCAGGGCGTGTTTGCCTTCGCCAAACAGATGGCCTGCCTGTGCTTCTCTCATGAGATTCTAACCGAGCAGTGGAGGCGCAAGCTGGTCCTCTCGCACTGGGGCACGGGCCTTTTCCACAGCTTCTCCATCTTCAGCATGGCCTTCGGATGTCAGTCGTGAGTACGCGCATCCCCTCCGTCGCCCAGTCCCCCGCCTCCATGCCTCCACCCCAGCCACCAATCGCTACCGGCGTCGGGGTCCGTCTCGGTCCGTCACGTGACCTTGTTGGGCCCTTGCCCAGGGCTTAACCATCACCATGGTGTCTGTCTTGTTATTGTTGTTGTTTATGGTGTTGTGGTTGTTGTGCGTCTGCACACAGTGCCACGCTGTTGTGCATGTGCTTTCGTGTGAAAGGTGCTCCTTAACTCCACTTGCCCCAACAGCCTGTGTAGCAGGCTATGTGGTGGGGGACCTTTGTTTTTGTGTCTCCCGCTGAGGCTCCTGTCCCGTGTATTTGGGAGTCGGCTCGCTTGACTGTGAACATTACGGTGTGTAGTGATGGTAGCGTGCGCGCAGGGCGACGAGCGCCCAGTTAGCCTCTTAAAGCCATCCCCGGCCCCGTGGCCGATCAGTGGTCAAGTGAGCTTCCCGCAGTCGGGAGGTTGCGAGTTCTACATCTGGCTTGCGGGTTGACTCAGCCCGTCGTCTCTCCTCGATCAAGAACATGAGCGCAGCTTGGCGGGGATGAAAGTAGCCGTCGTCCTAAGGATAGACTCGCCCTTGCCATAGGAAAGTGGAATTTCCACCACTGGCTCAGGTTTGTGGAGTGGAGATGAGCATCACATGCCTCAGTGCTCATATAGGCTGCAGATCGTTCTGACTCATTTAATTATCATTTGTTTTCGTGGCTCCTTGATTTATAACCAGAGCCCACTGAGACTGATTGGCTATTTTCCATGGGAGACCTGGGCCATCCAGTGCACTCAAGGATCAAGTGAATGCTGCAGTAAAAGGTCGATAACGACCATGTGCAAAACCTTTCCATGACGAGAGATCGCCGAGCAGGAAAAGTTGCGGTGTCCGCCCTGCCCTGCTTGTGTGGGCGGCCGTGAGCCGCACAGCCGCGTCTGTGAATCGATATCGCAAACTGAAAACTCCTGCGTCATCGCTAAAACCCTTGCTCTCTACGCAAATCATCACCATCGTCATTATCATGCTCATTGTCTTCTTTTTCCACGTTGACGTTCGTCCTAAGTGGCTGCCATCTCCCTTGACTCGCAGTCCTGTCTCCTCTCTTCCTAAGTTCTTATATCTCCCCCCCCCATCCCCCACCCCCCCCTTCTCCCTGCACCAGCACTCCATGATGTGATCGTGGTCCCTGTGAGGTTGAGCTTTGGGGCGAGCATTTGCTGCTCCTCTGTTGGTGCCAGCGGCCCCGCGACGGAACCTCTTGTGCCCGTCGACTTTGCCGGGTGCCCCCCCCTCACCCCGACCACTCCCTCCCACACTCACTTCCACGGCGCTCGCAATGAGCATCGCCGTTCCCTGTCTCCCAGCTCGCCAGTGCTGTCAGTACCATGATCCGTGTGCTGCCGGCTCTTCCTGGCAGCACCGTGGCCAGGGGGGGCACGTCTCTTAGGGAGCTCTCAGTCCCCCACCGTTTGTCGTTTCTCGTGAGGATGCCTTGGCCTCCCTCCACCGCCACGCTTGCTGCCACCGCCTCCGCTTGCGCTGCTGAAAAATCCCCGGCTTTTGGTGTGCATCATGGGAGCTGCTGGAGATGTCTGCCCTTCTAACGGCTTTGCTGGTGCATTCTGGGAATGGCTGAGCGTGACTTTGACCCCTTACGGTGGGGTCGCGATCGCCGTGCTTGGTCGGCATGCAACGACGCGTCAATTCACCAATTTACAGTCCATTGCTGTGCTTGCGGTGATGCCACGCATCTCGTCGTGCAAGCGAGAATCGATCCGATTCGATCGTGCGAGTTGGACGCGAATGATGTGCTCGTGAAACGTCGAAGTCAACGGAATCCAATGAAGTCGTTTGCATCAGATTCGATAATATCCAATTTACGCAAGTTAAATGCAACTTACAGTTAAAGTTAACGCCGATGAGCGTGTCCGATGCACACGATGCAAAGGAGACGTGCAGAATCGGTAGTTTAATCACACCGTGCTCCCTGCTCATGCCGACGGGTCGTCGTTACGTGCTTGGCGCTCGCGAGCCCAGCCCCTCCTTGCCTCGCCTGCGCCGTCTTCGCGGCGCCGGAGCGCAAGACCACGGGAGGGAGAAACCTCCCCTGGCCGCGGTCCACGTCGAGACCCCTCGTCGTGTACCGATGAGGCCGCCCGGTGGCCTAGACGGTGACCACAGTGTGCAATGTTGGTCGTGGCGAGGCTGCGCCTGTGCATGCGCAAGCGATGACGCTGGAAGGGGGGGACTGGCCGGGTCCCCGAGCTAAATTTTTACCGACGCTCTTCACGTGGTGAGCTTGGTGGCTCGGGGGTCGGAGATGCTGAGCTGTGACTTCTGTCATTGGATGAAATCCGTGACATCTAGTGCAGTTTCTACTTTGAACTCATTCACAGCATCCTAAATGCATTTTTATAACACAATATTAAGTAGACATGTTTTTCCCATTATGTTGCTTTTACAAAAGAGGTCTGGAGCGTTGAGCCAGCACCAGTGGGAACCTGGGTTCAAATCCGGGTTCAGCCGCTGCTCGTGATTAAACCGAGTTCTCATGATTTGGCGTTCTTACCCTGGTGACCAACGAATCACAAACTAAACATTGCATTCAATTTAGGGCGTCTTGATAGTTAATTTGACCAAACTCCAGCTCTAAGAAATAATATATTGCATTTCTTTGATGTGCAATTAACACTGCCACAGTGGCGCGTGTGGATCAGAGGTCGCTTGAGTGGATCTCAGAAGCAGCTCTGTGATCTTCGCCTTCCGTGAGTTGCTCTCCAACACACGAAGTGATGCACTGCCCACTTAGAGGGGTCCAATTGGACACTTGAGATGGCGAAATGAAGCCACTCGCACAGTTTCCAGATTACGTTTTGCAAAACGCCAAACAAACGTTGACAGGGAGTGAATTGTAAATGAACGAGAGTGACGTAGTAATAACCAGTGCTACCCGCCAGTGTGCGAGCATCGTGAAAATGATGCCCCTCCCCCCCCCTCCCTCTCACCATGAATCCACAACCTCCCCCCGCCACACTAACACCATCACTCCCAGCATTCCCTGCTTTGCGCACGACGCAGAAGCACTTGTTAGCCACTTCTCCTCGTTCTGCCCATCGCGCCCTCCCTCCGTCGCTCCCCATCTACGGCGGCGTGGGGCTCCGTCGTGTGGCTCGGGACAGCGAGTGGCGTTGGAAACAGATGCAGGCTGAGATCGTTGCCGGCGGCGCGCGTTTTTTTTTAAGCTCTTCCAACTGCGCCATCGTCGTGCTGCCCGCGCCGTGACCTCTGACCCCCCCCCCCCCCCCGCCGGCCACAGGCAGGTGCTGCCGACATATGATTCGCTGGACGAGCCATCCGTCAAGCACATGAGCTCCATATTCAGCCGCGCGCTCAAGATTGTTTACACGTTCTACATCGCCGTGAGTGGACGCGCTCACTCGATTGCACTCTTGCACTCGCTCACAGTAACGCGTTCCGCCTTCCACGTTTAATAGTTTAACAAATAAAACAAAATACGGACCTTCTAAAGTTCTCAAACATGCCACAGGGTAAGTTGACCACTCGGTATACCGATGCTGGGTCCGTAACTCAAAGTTGGAATCGCTCCCTAATCTACATCACGGGGCTTTGGGCCTGTGCTCCGCAACTCTATTTATAAACAAAACACCTTCCACAACCTCCACCCCCTCCCCCCTGCCCTCTCCCCCGTCCTCCGGGACTGCTCGCTGCCGACGCCTCCAGGTCGGGTTTTTTGGCTACGCGAGCTTCACGGACGAGATCGCCGGGAATGTCCTGATGAACTTCCCGTCGAACGTGGTAACGGAGGCGATCCGCATGGGCTTCGTCCTCTCTGTGGCCGTCTCCTTCCCCATGATGATCCTGCCCTGCCGCCAGGCGCTCAACACCCTGCTCTTCGAGACGCAGGTGGGTGCCCAGGTGCCACCCTGCCTCGGCCGGGTGTCACGCTCGGGGCTGGCTGGTTGTGTCTCAGGGCTGGGTGGGTCTTGCCAAGAGCTGGGTTTCACTTAGTTGGGTCTCACTCAGAGTGGTGTGTCACTCACAGCTGGGTGCGTGTCACAGGGCTGGGTGGATATCGCTAAGAACTGGGTGTCACTCAGGGGGCTGGGTGTCACTCAGGGTTGGCTGAGACTTTTCTCAAGTGCAGATAGAGACTTCGTGTGTGCGTGTACATGTATTTGTGTGTACGTGTGTGTGTGTGTGCATGTGTGTGGGGAGCGGTAGTGCAGCGGTTAGTGTACTGCGCTACGAACCCAGCGATCCAGAGTTCAATTCCCGCTCACGGCCAACACCAGTGACGATTATCTGAACCGGTGCTGGGCCTACCCCAAGTCGACTCAACCTCAAATTCGTACCTGGTGCCATGTGTAAACTTTGCCACCCGGCAAACAAAGGCAGCCAGGCGTAATGTTGGCCACCCACCTCCCCGTGTGCAGTGGGCCTTCATAGGTGATCGCTAACAGCACTTTCCCCAACAGTCTGTTAAGGCTATACGGGGGATCTTTGTTTGTCTTTGTACATGTGTGTACGTGTGTACGTGTGTGTGTACGTATTTGTGCGTGTGTGTGTATGTTCGTGTTTGCCCCACCTGACAGGGAGAGCACGCCCACTCTATTGAATCCTTTCGCTGTCATTTGATTTCCATTTTAACTCGGGAAGTCGCGCGGAAACACAGTGACGGGGACAGCTGTGAAAGGTCACAATTCTGTCACCGGTTCTGATGACATCAAACCCCCCTCTCCCCCTCCCACGACCCCCACCCGCGCCCCCCCCCCCCCCCCGCGTGTCCCCGCAGCAAAAGGACGGCACGTTCACGGCAACGGGCTTCATGCCGCCGCTGCGGTTCAAGGTGGTGACGGCACTCATTGTGTTCTCCACCATGCTGGTCAGCGTGTTCGTGCCCAACGGTGAGTGCCAACCACCTCCCCCCCACCACCCCCCTTCCCTCGACTAATCTCCTCTCCATCTCTGCTCCCCAGCGCTCCGGGCACGGTGTTCAGGGTCCATGCAGTGCTTGACCCTCTAGCGTAGGCGGGGGAGGGCGGCGCGTGAAGGTGCCCGGTGACGGTGTGGAGCGGCGATGGTCGTGTGCGTTGGTGGTGGTCTGGTGTATGGTGATGTTGGTGATGGCGTGCGGTGACTGTGCGGTGTTTTGGTGTGCGGTGTGGTGGTTTCCTGGCAGTTGAGACGATTCTAGGACTGACCGGAGCCACCATGGGCAGCCTCATCTGCTTCATCTGCCCGGCGCTCATCTACCGCCGGCTCCATAAGGACGGCTTCATCGCACAGGCACGCACACACAGACGCAGAACCCCCGTGGAGCCCGCACAGGCTGTGCCGTTAGCGAGTAGCACCTATGAAGGCCGGCACGGCACGCACGAGAGGGTTGTGGCCTGGCGAGCACTACGCCTTTGTGGCCAGCACCGTACCGGGCCACCTTTGTATCCCCCAGCGGGGATTTTTTACACACCGCACCGGGTACTTGGTAAAGAGTCAAACTCTGACTTGGCACGTGTGTGCGTGTGTGCAGCTTGTGCTGTGGGTGGGGCTGGTGGTGCTGGTGGTGAGCACCATCAGCACCCTGTCCCCGGCGTCGCCGGAGAAGCCCGTGCCAGCGCCAACGCCGGCCCGGGCCGGGATGCTGGACCTCGATGTGGCGCTGGCGCCTGAGGTCCGCGAAGCGAACCGCGGCGCCGACATCGGCGCAGGTAACTCTCTCCAACGAGTGCGTCCGCCCCGTCCATCCGTCCGTTTGTTCGTAATGGGGTCACGAAATGACGTCATGGTATCTTTAACGTGCACCCTGAAGCAGCCGACGGCGCGTGGTACTTTTATGGTCAACACACGAGCGACGGAAATAACCAGGGCGGCCGTTTAGGTTCGAACTGCAAGTTTCCGCAACATGCGGCGAGCGCACTCCAGCTGGGCCGCCGCGTCACCGCCCAGTTGCGCTGACGTGGCCCCCCCCCCCCCGTTCTCCTCCCCCACCCCCTGCCCCACGCGCCCCCTGCCCCCCCAGCACCCGACGTGCTCCCAGCGGTGAACGGTGCGATGGGGGCCATAGCGGCCGGTGGGGGGAGGCTCAAACTCGACTCCATGGAGGAGGGGGCGGCCGAGCCCCCCCAGATCGAGGTTCCCAAAGCGGAGTTGGAGGACAAGATTGGGGACGAGCAAGGACAGCTGCTGAGGCCGGACGATGGTGAGCGACTCTGCTGTGATGGTGGTGTCATTTTGAGCACTGTGATGGTGGGTGATGTTGTGATGTTGGTTACCTATGAAGGCCATGTTGGCCTTCATAGTTGGCCTTCATCGGTGCCCGCTATAAAAGCACTTGCCCTACCAGCCTGACAAGGCTATACGGGGGATCTTTCTCTTTGTTGTGATGATGGACAATGCCAAACAGATCCCGTTTCCTGTGCGTGACGTCTCTGTGTTACTGATGTCTTGGTTGTTGTGCCGCCAGGAGGTCAGCAGGCGCTGCAGGATGAGCATCGTCACGAGCCGCCCGTGCCGCGTGATGGTGTGCCGTTGGACCGGCCGGGGGCACCAGGTCAGAGGTCACAGGGTCATGGTGTCACGGGATTGAGCTTGGGCTGGGTGCGGGGTGGGGTTGAGCAGTGAGTGGCAACTCGCATTTTAGTCGTACGCGCTGCGTTACATCGGGGAGAATCGTCTTTCACAAGATAAACAGCAATTTGTTAATTTCGTGAAATTTGTGCGTGTACCAAAATTATTTGTTTTGATTATCCTGAACAACGAGATTAAAAACATGTTTTCCAGACGATAACGCCATCATTTAGATTATGCAGCACGCCCCCAACATTTTCTGTAGAATATCTGGTTGATTAATTGGCAGCGAGGCATGGCAATGGATGGTGACGTGCATAGCTCATTATTTGGTGATGGTAACTTGATGTTTGTGTTAGTCCACGACGCAACTTTCCGGCCACATTTCTGTCGAAAGGACTCTCCACCGCCAGACGCAGCCAAACAAATGAAATTGTCACGTGGCTTACGAGCACAGGGCCGCTGAGCTGGCACCGCTGGGCTCGTGTGTTCCAATCCGGGTTGTCATCCCCAACCACAGCGAGTTGATGGTCTCGGCCCTGTCACCGCAAATATAAACCCTCGCGGTAAATTTGGTTTGCCACGTAATTTGGCTAAATTCCAGCTCTGGGATTGAAAAAAATATCGTGCCATTTTTAAGGTAATCATGGTTTCATGAAACATGGGGGTTTCTTTTGGAATAAGTCCAGTGGTTTTCAGCGTACACGGAACTGTGAATGCACCATCGCTGTCCCAGCGTGGAGGAAGCAGTCGGGTGTCAGGTCAAGACACCGCCATGCTTGATATGCCGGTTTGGTCACGGGCTGCTGAACCCAGATTCGAACCCAAAATCGAAGTGGAGTTCTGACCTCCGAGCCACCCGACCACCTTCGCGATTTGTTGTTTTTAACCGGTCCTCATCTCAACCTCTCTCTGTTTCTCAATGTAGAGAAAATAAAGGAGAGCGAGGAGCACGAGGAGATGATTCCCGATGATAAGCCTGGGCCGGGTGTTGGGGGGAGGCATGGCGGGGGGCACGGCGGGGGGCAACGCGAGGGTGACGACCACGCCCAAAACGTGGGGGGGGCGGCCATGGATATGGAGGAAGTGGTGGCTGGGCGGCATCAGGCTGACGTGCAGGACCTTCGCGAGCTCGTGCAGGAAGAGAAGGAGAAAGCGCTGCAGCCCCCACACCGCAATGGAGGAGGAGGCGTAGCCGGGGGCCTGGCCAAGGCCGAGGTCAGAGGTCAGGCGGCGTTGGATGATGAGAACAAGCCGAAGGAGCCGGCAGAGCCCAAGAAGAAGGAACGCGACTTGGTGGAGAAAGAGGTCCACGTGAGAGCGCGGGACGAGGCCGGAGGCGGCGCCGATGACGCTGCCGCCCCCCCCCCCGCGGCACATCCACGCGATTGAACCGAACGCCGCCGAGGTAGTAGCAGATGACGCTGCACCAGCAGGAGCTGCCGTGGAGCCCGGTGACCAGCACCGGCGGCCGCCGGCCGAGCACGACAATAACGCCCGGCCGGTGGAGGCAGCGGCTCGTGGCGAGGAGGAGAAGCCACAGGAAAAGCCACAGGAGAAGCCGCAGGGACAGCCGGCCGCCGGCGCCGATGTGGGCGTCGGACAGGGCGAGGGCGAGGATGGCAAGCTGGACCAGAAGCTCCTGCTGGAGGTGATCAAGCAGCAGCAGGAGCAGCAGAAGCGGCTGCTGGACCAGCAGGAGCGGCTGCTGGCCGTGATCCAGGAGCAGCACAAGGAGATGCACGGGCAGGAGAAGCTCGATAACGCTGTGCGGCCTCACAGCCAGCCTGGTGTGTGGGCACTAATGCGGCCTCGCGGGCATGTCTGTGTGCGTTTTACGTTGTGTGCCTGTGTGTGTGTCTGGTCCCTCTAGCACGGGTTTAATTTGGTCTTTCCACCCTGGACTTATGTGGTACCGGAGGATGTGGAGCTGAGTGGACTTGCCGTCAACTGATACCAGCGGTGTTAGGTTCGGCCTCTATGGAGGAAGCTCGTGAAGGACGCTGCTACTGGGCAGTTGGAGCGGCGCTCACAACAACGAGCGGAGCGCCGGGGGGCTAAAGCACAACAAGTTGGCACAGTACAGGGCACAGGTGGTGCAGCAGCCAGTCACCTGGGTCTGTCCTGTGACCTGCCATTGGGCATTCGACACTTCACGTGGCCTTAAAATGCACATAGCCTGGCACAGGTGCTGTGGTTACTTCACTATCACTTCGTGGCGAATGGCGGGTATTGGCATTTGTTTGGCCCCTGCTGTATGCGCGTGTGTGCGTAGGATTTTTCTGTGTGTGTCTGTAGGTGTGTATGTCTGCGTGTGTGTATTTGTATCTGTGTGGTTGTGGCTGCGTGCGTGCCTTTCTATACATGTGTTGGTGTTTTTGTATGTATTGTGTGGGTGTATGTTTATGTACGTGTGTTTGTCTGTGTGAGTGAAAACACACATGCCGTGTCATCATGGTGAGGGTTCCTCTCCTCTGTTTCACAGCTCCGGAGAATGCTGATGGCAGTAAAGATACCAACGACAAACCTGCAGGAGGAGAAGTGGATGCTGGCGTGAATCCTGCGCAGGATGTCGAGAATAGAGATGGAGCTGCTGAGCCGGAAATGGAGGCCATGGTCGAAGTGCGTAAGGAAGAGAAGCCGGCGCCTGCCGCCGGCGCCCCAGCCGACAAACAGCTCCACCACGCTCCCGCTGAGCCGGGGAAGGCGTCGCACGAGGTGGAGGTCAACGTGCAGGTCGCGAGGGATGCGGGTGTTGAAGTGGAAGTAAGAGGGGTGGAGGTCGCGAAGAGAAAAGAGGAGCCAGCGGTGGCGGCGGCAGTGGCGATGGATCATCGCAATCACGACGGGCACGCAAATGATCGCCACCCAGAGCACGACGCCATTCCCGCTAAACTCGCCGAGCCACCGGCGGCGCGGCGAGAGGAGGGGAAAGCGAACACCGGCAAGGGGAGGGAGGTTGAGCATGTGGTGGTGGCGGACGCGCCGGGGCCGCCAGCAGAGGGTGCTGCTGTGGAGGAGGATAAGGAGAATAAACAGGAGGATAAGCTGGACAGCCCCGATCTGCGTCGCAAGCGGAGGAGGAGGGAGTCTGAAATCGTCGCAAGTTTGGAGGCGGCGACGGCGAAAGCTCCCCGGAGACGCAGTCAGGAAACCGTGTTGGAGAGACTGGAGGTGGGGGCCTTGGTTCCAGCCCTGGGACCTGACGCGCTCCTCCACGGGCACGAGAGCCCGGCCCGCGTCCAGGTTGCGCCGCTCGGCAGCGTCGTGCGAAAACTGAAGCAGGCCGCGGAGCCCGACGGGGGGTAGAGGCCTCGGGGTCCGCGCCGCCCCTGTCGGCGCCGTTTGTGTTTGTAACGTCGTGCCGGCCGCGGCGGTGTGGGGGACGCTTTGTGTGAGGTCGGACTTCCGCTCGTTACCGATGACACCTCCCCCGTTTGCGCTCTTAGACGAAACCTGCCGTTCGAAATCCGTGGAAGCACCTTGTGGTCATCGTCCGTGAGAAGCCGCTCTCTTTCCCTTTGTTGCCCGGGTGACTGTCGAGCCTCTTGCCTCTTTTCCACTGCGTTATCTAGCCGTGCCATCGCAATCGCACACATTGAGCCACTTGAGACGCGTGTAGACGACGTGAAGACTTTGTGTTTGAGTTTTACTCGCCGACGTCATCATCGTTCTCACCCCTGGCCCTGCTGGGCCCCGAGCCAAATTCAGGTGTCCTGTGAGGCCCCTGCGGTGGCCTAGCTCAGTTTTGCTCGTGGAAAAAGGGAATAAGTGGGCTGCAGCGCTGTCATAGGCCATCGCTGGGTCTCGATGCTTCCTTAACTCGCACCACAAAGCTGGGACAGGCTTCTTGTTGGGCCCGACTTCATCTGCAGCGTGAGCGACGTCCTGGGCTGGTGTTGGAGGCAGAACCGCAGCACCGCAACCATAACCCCAACCCAATTTGTCCCCAGTGTTAGAGCGATCGGGTAAATTATCACCTTGATTGGAAACAGGATGCGGACCAAATATGCATCGGCCTTCTGCCTGACGTTGCCACACAAGGTAGATGGGAGAATATGAATAATTTAAATGTGGGTTTCATGGATGGGTATCCTGGTGGCTCGTGGGGTTCGTGCAGGGTGGGGACACGCTGAGGTGATCCCAGGGTTCCCATCTGGGTGGCAGGCGCCCGTGATTAAACCGGGTTCTTGAGCGTAGCGAGTTGGTGGTGTCACCCCATTCACCAATGACTGCACAATAAAACCCATGGTGTTAAATGTTGTTTGTCACTTAACTCAGCGTTTTGCAGTGCTGAGAATTAAAAAAAATTCCGATTGTTTGACGTGTGATGGACTCTGTTTGCAAGGTGTGCAGGAGACATGTTTTATGGTGAAAAGAGAAAAGGCTTCACAAGTGGAGTTTACTCCCCTCAATTCTGATCTGGTCTCTGCTGGTCCGTATGAGTGGAACAGATGGCTCAAGCTTTTTTCCCATTCACGTTTAACCCTTTGTCCGTGAAATATGATTTACAGGAGACGAGTTCTGATTTTGGTGTGAATGTTGCTAACCATACGCCCATTAAAAAAAAGTCATCGGGACACGTTTAAAGGGTACTTCTCACAATTAGCCACGCTATCGCTCGACTGCCCTCTTTATTCGAGAGCTATGAAGGTCCATGACCTGAAACGTCGCCCATTACATGTTTTTATTTTAAGGCCACACTGTCATTGACGAATGTGTAGAGTTTTGTTAATTGTCCATGTGACCACTGCAGCAACAGCAGCACCAAACAATGTATGCTGAACTTCTTTCGCACCGTACGTAGCCAACCGTGATAATTATAATCGGAGGCAGGGTGGTTACTCGGTGAGGCTCGTGTAGCCGGCCACGCCGAATCTCGTTGTCAATCATCGCCTTCGCCCCACCCACCGGAAGTTTCTGCCCCTCTTCACCCCTCAGCCCCCCTTCACTTCCGGTGGGTGGGGGGGGGTTGCTTCGTGTTTCTTGGGTTTCGCCGCCATGAGTGCCGCGTCCCTCACGGACAAGCTGCTCTTCCTTCGCAAGGTGGGCGAGGTGGGGGGGCCCTACGAGGGGGGGGCCCTGCGAGGGGGGGGGCTGCGTGGGGGGGGGCCCTGCGTGGGGGGGGGACCCTGCGAGGGAGATGGCTGATGGAGCTGCTAGGGCTGCAGCCAGCTCCCTGGGTCCAGCGGGGTCTCCAGTCGTGAGGGTGGTATGGGTAAGGGGTCCCTGGTTTAAGGGGGTTCTTATAGCCGGGGTGAGGGGTCCACTTGTCACCGGGGGCCAAGCCCCGGGCGTTGGGGTTCTCGGGGTTTCGGGAGTCGTGTAAGTGTTCTAGGATTCAGGGGTTGGGGGGGGGGAGCCAGGGATGGAGGGTGCGGGTTGGTAACCTTATGCCCGGGTTGGTAACCTCATGCCCGGGTTGGTAACCTCATGCCCGGGTTGGGTAACCTCATGCCCGGGTTGGTAACCTCATGCCTGGGTTGGTAACCTCATGCCCGGGTTGGTAACCTCATGCCCGGGTTGGGTAACCTCATGCCTGGGTTGGGTAACCTCATGCCTGGGTTGGTAACCTCATGCCCGGGTTGGGTAACCTCATGCCTGGGTTGGTAACCTCATGCCCGGGTTGGGTAACCTCATGCCCGGGTTGGGTAACCTCATGCCCGGGTTGGTAACCTCATGCCCGGGTTGGGTAACCTCATGCCCGGGTTGGTAACCTCATGCCCGGGTTGGGTAACCTCATGCCCGGGTTGGTAACCTCATGCCCGGGTTGGTAACCTCATGCCCGGGTTGGTAACCTCATGCCCGGGTTGGGTAACCTCATGCCCGGGTTGGTAACCTCATGCCCGGGTTGGTAACCTCATGCCCGCGCGGTTCCGGACACGTCCGGCGACTTTGTTTCAAACACAGGACACTTGGGCCCCACCGCCCCTCCACTGCTACGGAACGGGCCACGCGCGATCTTTGTCCCGTCATTGCAAGCTTCATCGGGGCGCGGCCCGGCGTTATTTTTGTCCTGGCCGCAAAACTCTCCAGTTACTACTTAACTTCATCGCCACCTCTCCACAGTCACTCGCGAGGCGTGCGCGTGTTGATAACGGACGGCAACTTTTTACACGTATTCCAATGTCGTATTCGCCTCCCCTACCAACCCCACCGCCAGAAGGAATGTGTTCCTCACCCCGTGATCGCCCAGTGTCACCATGTGATTTCTTAATCGCGTCTCCCGCAGTCCCCGCGGCGGTCCATTCAATTCGCCTCGATTCTGTTTCAAAGAGCCCGGTTTTGTTTCGTTTGACCGCCCTGCTTGAGGAGAGCCACATCCACACCTTTTTCTCGTCTGTAGAATTTCGCTTCCCGATTGGTTACCCGGAGCGTAAACACAATTCGCGAATCGTCGATTAACGCGCGCGCGTCGTGGGCGTGAGGATATTGATCGCCGGTACCGTTTCACCCTGGCGTGCGCCGTGCCCAAGAGGCCCCCCCCAACACACACACTTCCCTTTTAACCGACGAGAATTTCGGTGGCCTCAGGCCGCAATCATCTAGCTGCAGCAAGAGGGCTTCTCTGCGCTTCGTGTCTCGCCCCCACTGATGTCTTCTGCTTACCCCCCCCCCGCCCCCAGGGGGGGGGGGGAGTGAAAATAATTTGGGGGGGGGGATTTGACAATTTTTGCAACCCTGTTGGATCAACTTTTGACCTCTACATCTGGGGTGGGGGGGGGGGGGTCCACTTTCTAGAACTGTTTGATTCAGTCCTTGTGAAAGGTTCTTATAATCTAGTTGATGGACAAATGGAACGCCGGGTTTTTTTTAAATAATAGACTAGCTTTACTACCCGGTTTCGGCTGGGACTTGGATTCACCACGCCCGGCCGCCTCTGTCTCTCCAATGGCGATGTTCACACACCACACCAGTTACGTGTTTGAGGCTGAGTCGACCTAGGGGAGGCCCAGGACCAGTTCAAATAATCGTCACCGGTGGTGGCCATGAGCGGGACTCGAACTCGAGTTGCACAGTCTGGAAAGTACCCACATGGCAAATTTCAAGTTTGTTGCATGTCGGGAAGTACGCTAAAGATTTTGAACAGACAAATAATCACAACTTTTCCTTTTATATATATGGAGATGACTAACCATAATTTGTGGGATGCTCACCAGGGAAACATGGTGAGCGAGCAGCCCTGCCCACTTGTTTATAGGCACGCCCACTCTGCCACTAACCTGAATCACTCCCCAGGGAGCCTTGCCCACTGCCCAGGTAGCTCGACCCTCGGGCCTGCATCATGAGTCGAGCACAAGGCCAGAACATTTCAAACCGGCAACAAAATAAATCCCGTTTTTTTTTTACCAGGACAGACTTTTTGATTCCACTGGAACTACCCCAGCCCAAAATGTTGTGACTTTATTCTGATCATGACCTCTGACTATTCCGTGTTAAAGCCTCTCCCTGGCCCCTCTGACCTCTCCTACCCCATGCCAACAGCTGCCCGTGCTGGTCCACGCCACCTCGGATGAGCCCTCGCCCTGCCCGGGGTACCTGTACGAGGCGGTGGCCGGTATCCCCTTGGACTCACGGGATGCTCGCAGGGCTCCATACCAGCTCCCTCTTGGACCCCCGCTGTAGCGTTTAAGAGTACGGGGGCATTAGGCTGGCTGTGCCGGGGGGCGGGGGACTAATGGGGACTCGTATCCACAGCCTCAGTGTTATGTGTTTGGTTTGGTAAAGAGCAGCGAGCACTGGGAGGTGGCTGGGTGGCCCAGCGCTGAGATCTAGGTTCAATTCTGGGCAACTGCCTGTGAGTAAACCGATTTCCCATCCGTAGTAAATGATTGGTTTCAACGCAGTCACCAATAGACATTCACAGAGACTCAATGCATCATATAGAAGCCCATAGACTCTTGTATGTTGAAATACGGTTACAGTGTGTCCTTGAGTGTCGTGAGCTGATGGTATCAGCCAGAACCTTGAATTCCGCTTGGTTCTGAAGTTAATGTTGGCTGCATCCAGCTCTTGAGAAGTAATTGATATCGGTCGAGGTGTCAAGTTACCTCCGCAGTCATGACTCGGAGGTGGTGATTCATGGCCATGACTCGATCCGAGAATCTTTTTTGATGACATCGCGGTGAATGTCGCGGCCACTAGCATTGTCGAGGTTGCAGGGGTCAAGTGATCCCATTGCAACGTGAATTAAAATAATCCTTAGGCGCGTCGAGTGTTGTGTATTTCGTATTCCTAGAGAATAAACATGAACGTACGCATCGCTCCACCTCAATTCCCCAGCGACCCCGAGGAGCTGCCTCTGAATGGGGGGGGGGGGGGCACATGGGGTTATGAGGGGAGGTACGGGGGCCCTCCAGTTTCACTGTGGAATCCCCACCGATAAGAGGCTAAATTTGCATTCTTCTCAGAGCCAGCTAAGCATTTGGGCTGTTAACAATTTAGTTTTCTCGCTGTAAGTGCATCACGGGAACAAACACCGGGGCTGGCGCAGCTGGTGCCGAATTTTCTACCCAGTTTAGCCCTTGACTATGAGTCAGACATGTCGCGTGAGTCGGCCGGCACCTGCCACTGTTTGCTGGAGTTCCTGCTGGAGCGGCTACGTGGGGGCTCCTGCCACAGCAAGCTCAAGGTGCCTCCTCCACTCTGTTCTCCTCCCTCCTCTTCCCTCCTCCGCTCTCCTCTGCTCCGGTGCTCTCCTCCACATTGCTCCGCTCGCCTCTCTCTCTCGTCCACTCTCTGCGTCGCTCTCCTCCACCCCCCTCTCTACTCCGCACTCTCCGCCACCACCATGGCGTTTAATGAGTAACACCTGCAGGCTCAATTGGAAAGGGTTAAAAGTGAACAACCCAACTCTCTACCAACATCCGCACCACCCTGTATCGCCCACTGCCCACCTCCCCACCAACACCACCACCTCCTGACCCCCACCCCCCGCAGGTGCTGAAGCTGTGCCGCCACCTCCTCGATCACGGCTCGCCGCAGTTCACCCTCGCGCTGCGCCGAAACGCAGCCTGCCTGCAGCAGTTCAGCGGTGAGAGGCGCCGCAGTCGGCACCGGCGTTGGCGCCCACGCACAGACAACCCTCCGCACGTTCACGTTGGGCGGTTGCCCCTGGTGCCCACTTCCCCCTTGCCAGCACTGACACCGCCGCACCTGTGCCCCCCACAGTGTACGCAGGCCCCCCAGACGCGCTGTACGGGAACGCCCACTACCGCAATGTACGCACGGCCGCCGCGGTGAGTGATGCACTGTGCCACAGAGCGGGGTTCACGCATCATTGTCATTTTTATCGTCATCGTCATTTTTATCGTCGTCATCATTGTCACCCGTGAGTAATCCACTGCTGGATGAAACCGTCGCCATCGCTCATGGTCCTGCGATGTGACAGTCCATTGAGCTCTGGCACGCGAGATTATTCCATTGCTCCATCTCGACGGTCGACATCCTCTGGGGGACGTTCTCTTCTTTGGTTGGCACTCCGTCGTGAGTCTCGCCCACCGTGTCCTGTCCAAGGCCACTCACTTTTCCGAACGGTGTAGCGGTAAGTTGTCGGTCCCGGTACGGTCACCAATAACTGCACACAAAAAAAGACATTCCTTAAAATTTGGTTCTGTGCTGAATTTTTCTCTAGATTCCAGCTCTTGAGATTTAAAGATATCAGTTTGACTTCCACTCGACGAACATTACACTCATGCAGGGCGATTGCAAAAGTGCTGCCCTCTGCATTGTTGACCAGTGGTCACTTGAAGGAATCCCAAAGGTAGGAGGGTGTGTGTGAGTGTGAGCAAGGGGAGCAGTAGCCTAGCGCATTGGGGAGACAAATGCGAACGGCCGTGGTTCTGGCAACCCACCCCCTCGTGTGCCGCGCTGGCCTTCACAGGTGCAGCTCGCACACGGCACTTGCCGCAACAGCCTGTTAAGGCTACACGGTGGGGGATCTTTAGCGTGTGGGTCGACGGGGGGGGTTGGGTGGCGGAGCTGAGTGTCGCTGTGACTCGATGGTGGCGCAGGATCTGGCCGGAGCCCTTTACGCTGACGATCCGGACTCCCCTCCAAAGCCGCGAGACCGCCCCCCACCCTCCACCGGTAAGACTCGGGGGTTGATTCTGTGCGACTCGGTGAGAATGTGAGAGATCAGGATGGGTGTCCCATTTGCAGGAGTGAGTCATCTGGGTCACCGCAATCACAGGCGCAAAATCACACCACCCACTCGTGTGCCGTGCCGGCAATAATAGATACTCGCAGCACTTGCCCCAACAGCTCATTGTCTTTGCACGTGTCTATGTGTGTGCGCTTAGGTATGGGGTGCGTGTCTGATGGCCGGACACCACCTCGTGCCTCCATGCAAGGTTTTGGCTTCACGGCTCCTGGAGCCGGTGGGTGCTCTTGACACCTGCACCACACCACACCATACTATACCGCACCGCACCTCACCCCAGACAGATGAGCCTCGAGGAGGCTATTGGCACCCACAACAGGAAAATGAGACTCACAGTTGTCAATCCTCGCATGCCCAGCCACGACATGCCCAACCTCCGCATGCCCAGCCAGCACATGCCCAGCCACCCCATACCCAGTGACTGCATGCCCAAAACAGCATCTGTTTGACCGGATAGAGGGGGATATGGAGCTGAGTGGACTTGCCAATTACGGGTACCAGCGGTGTCAAGATCGCCGTCTGTGGAGGAGGCCTGTGAAGGACGTTACGCCTCCCACCACAACAGAGACAGGGCTACACGGAGTTTCACGCAGCTACAAAACACACGGCCACTGCTGCGCATGTGTGTGCCCTCGCAGGCACTGCAAGCTACGTGCTCTGGGTGGCGCTGGAGGCTGAAATTCTTTGTTACAACGTTATAAACGTTCAGCAAAATTAAAACATTTTTAAACTCCCAATCGGTGCAGACCGCTAATTCACCTTGTATTGTATTGCACCTTTCTGTGTTAGTGTCTATCAAGGCTATTCAGGGGATTTTTGTCTTTGTCTCCAAGTGTGTGTGTCAGCGTGTAGGCAAATGTGTGCGTTGCTGTGTTTGTTCCCTTTGCAGGTGAAGGCCTTCTTGATCGAATCCAGAGGGCGGCCAGCGTCGTCTTGGCAACGGCGACCCCAACCCCATCCCAGCAGCCAATCAGAAACACCGGTTCAGGTCTCCATAGGGACGGATACCAGCCAATGGCAGCGGAGGAGGTCTCCCTGACGACTGGTGCGGCGCGGCCTGCTGAGAGGGCTGCCCGGGATACGCGGATAGGTTCGCTATAAAATCACGACAGCTCATACAGCTCGCAGCCAACATCGGTGACGAATATCTGAACAGGTCCTGAGCCGCCCCTAGGTTGACTCCGTCTTAAACGAGTACCTGCTGGCGTGGTGCGTATAAAACATGAGCAGTGGAGAGATGAAGGCATCCGGGTGTGGCTCCGGCCACTCCGCCGCCTCCTCGCATATCTTTCCGGCCTTCACGATTGCCCGCTTACAGCAGCTATCCCTCAGCGGTTTGTTGAAGGCTACACGGGGGATTTTTGTCTTTGTTTTGCTAGCGGTGCACCGGCCCGGGCAGGCCGGTGGGGGCTGGGACGAGAGCGACAGCAGCGACAGCCTGTCCCAGGCCTCGGTGGGCGCCGGCGTGCGTCTCTCCGGACCGGCGAGTCTCAGCGGGAGCCACAGATCGGGCTCTGACGGCCACTCGCTGGACCCGGACGTCACCGCCACGTTGCCCCCCGGGAGGTGCGACCGGGACCCGCCGCGCGATGCGCCAGCTGCCCCTCCTTTATAATTCCAGCTTATGACAGCACTTGCCCCGACTGCTATCGGCTACACGGGGGATCTTTGTCTTTATATATACATATTATGTATGTATGTGCGCACGTATCCGTGCGCGTGCGTCTGTGCGAGTGTAGGCCTGCATTTTTTGCGCACACACGTGGCTGTGTGTGCGTGTATATATGTGTGCATCTGGTGCGTTAAACATCAGTACTGGGGAGGCGAAGGCATCCCGGCGTGGTGCTGGCCACCCACCTCCTCGTGTGCCGTGCTGCCATTAATAGGTGCTACTCGCTAAACAGCACTTCCCCCAACAATTTTTTTAAAAGAGTATACGGGGAATCTTTGTCTTTGTTTTGCATCTGTCAGTCAACGCAGTCAACCCGTAACACGGTCTGCCGCATGACCTGCCAGCAGAGAGCCTTCCACACTTCACATGAAGGCCTCAAAGAGCACTTTACCTGGCAAAAGCGCTGTGGCGAACGCCACCATTACTTGGTGTTGCATGCATCTGCAGGCAAGAGGGCGCTGGCGGTGATGAAGAGGATGAGGAGGAGGAGGAGGAGAGAGAGGAGCAGCAGCTGGTGGCACGGGTGGTGGGCGGCTCGCGCCCGTTCCTTTCTCCGGCCGAGAACCAAGCCTTGCTGCGAGAGTGCGTGAGAACACCCAACGGGACGGGGTGTGCTGTGTACGTGCGTGAGTATACGTGTCTGGATGTGGGGAGTGGTGGCGCAGTGCAGGTTCACAGCGCACTGCGCTATGACCCCGGCGACTCGAGTGCAATTCCCAGACATGGCCGGGAATTGAAATCGGTTCCACCACTCTGCGTGGTGTGTGTGAGGTGTGCGTGGGGTATGTGTGTGTGCGTGGAGTGCCTGGTGCGAGTGCGGTGTGTGCACATGCTGTGTAGATTGTGTCGGGGTGTACGTGACCCCCACGGTGTTGACCCCCTGGCCCCCCCCACCCGTGCCTTCGCCCCGCGCCCCCCAGGGCAGGGCTGCTAAACTGTGAGCTCCTCGCCGTGCGGCTGTCCGAGCGGCTCGGCGACCCCTCCGACACCGTGAAGATGGTACGACCCGTAAAATTGAGTTTAATTTCCACAACAACAATAATACGAGCAAGATGTGAAATGCACATTTATTATATCAATGGAAACCTGAAGAATAACATAAGAGACCCGCCAACTAATATAGAGACCCGGAGATTTATATAGAGACATAGAGACCTGTATACTCATGTAATCGTTAATCATGGCCTAGAATTGAACTCAGGTAGCTGGACCTGCAATGCAGTGTGCTAACCACCGTGCCACCGCTCTCTCATCTTACAGAGTTAAAATAACGTTCCTTCTCCACCCCTTCTTGACCCTTGATCCAATGATGTGCCCAGCGGGCCATGGCGGCGCTGTCCAGCCTCGTGAACTCCGACCTCCTGTCACATGAGCAGGTGTGGGGGGCGGCAGCGTCGGCGCTGCACACAGTGAGCGGGGGGCCACCCGGGGCCTGCGCAGACCGGGCCAACAAGGTGTCCCCCACACTCCACACACCACATGCACACCACACATCACACACCCACTCCACACACACACCACACACACACCACACATCACACACACCCACACCACACACACACCACACACATACCACACACACATCACACACACAACACACACACCACACACACACCACACACATCACACACACCACACACCCACACCACACACACACACCACACACACACCACACACACATCACACACACCACACACCCACATCACACACCCACACCACACACACACCACACACACACCACACATCACACAACAACAACAACAACCGCCATTCGCCACTAAGTGGCGGTTACGTCACCACGACGCTTGTGCCAGGCTATGTGCACCGTGAGGCCATGTGAAGTGTCGAACGCCCGCTGGCAGGAGGTTACTGGGCAGACCCAGGTGCCACGGGTCGACTGACTGAGATGACTGGCTGATGCACCACCTGTGCCCCCTACTGTGCCAACCTGCTGTGCTTTAGCCACCCGGCGCTCCGCTCGTTGTTCTGAGCGTCGCTCCTCCGCCCTCCGTTGTTGTTGGAGGGCGACTGCCTCCAACTGCCCAGTAGCATCCTTCACGAGCCTCCTCCACAGAGGCCGATCTTGACACCGCTGGTACCAGTCATCGGCAAGTCCACTCAGCTCCACGTCCTCCTGTACCACATCACTCCATCTCTTCTCTAGCCCGTGCCGCGCCCGCTTAGCCCCCTCAATACGGCCAAACAAAAGCTGTTTCGGCATGCGGTGGCTGGGCATGCGGGCTACATGACCCAGCCATCGCAGCCTTGCCTGCCGGAGGAGCTCACCGATGGGACCCTGCCCAGATCTTTCAAGGATTTGTGAGCTCCTCACACAATCCAGTCTGGTTAAACCCAGGATGGATCGTAGGCAGGCCAGCCTAAATGTTTCTAACCGGCGAAGATGTTCCATTAGGGGGGTCCACGTTTCGCAAGCGTAGAGAAGGGAGGGAATGACCGTGGCCGAGAAGACCTGAAGCTTAGTGCGGAGCGACAGACCAGGTAGCTTCCACACAGCGTTACGTAACCGATGAAAAGATATTGCCGCTCGACTGATTCGGAGTGAGACCTCTGCTGTTAAACTGGAGCCAGTCATAAGCACACTGCCCAGGTATGGGAAAATCTCCACTCTCTCCACAACTGCCCCATCACCGATTGGGAGTTGTGGGGGTGGAGTGTCCGATGGTACAAAATACCCAGGCAGGTGCTTAGTTTTGGTGGGGCTGATGGTAAGGCCCCACCTCTTAGTGGCACGCTCCAGTCTCAGCAGCAGCGTCTCCAACTCCTCCTCTGACTGAGCAGCTATTACCAAATCATCAGCATACATAACGTGGTTGAGCAATAGGGAGCCATCCCTTGACCGCACCCGGGCATCGATTAGCCTCCCATTATATCTGTACCATATGGAGATTCCCCCGGTACAGCTATTGAAGGCTTCACGAACTACGTGGTCAAAATAGATGTTAAATAATGTGGGAGCCAGAGGACATCCCTGTCTTACCCCAAGGTGTACAGGGAATGGCTCTGACTCCCGGCCACGTAGTTTTACCCGGGCCCGCTCACCATCATGAAGGTCCTTAATGATCGTGAGCAGAGGGTCAGGTACTCCAAAAGCACGAAGAACGACCCAGAGCCCAGGCCTACTGATGGTATCATAGGCCTTGACCAGGTCAATAAAGCAGAGATGTAGGTCTTGTTGGAATTCCCTACACCTCTGCTGTAGCAGACGGACAGAAAATATGGCATCTGTGCAGGACCGCCCTTTCCTGAAACCGCATTGGGGCTCCGCAAGCCTCTCCTCAGCGTGCCTGGCAAGGCGATGCTGAATAATCCTTGCCAGGACCTTTCCCGGCACACTGAGGAGTGAGATGCCCCTGTAGTTGTTACAGTCTGTGCGGTCCCCCTTCTTAAAAAGGGGGACCACCAGGGCATCCTTCCAATCCTGCGGAACCCGTCCAGTGGTCCAGACTGTTGTTATGATGTCATATAGGGCAGTCTGTGCACAAACGCCACCCTCCCTCAGCATTTCGCTTGGGAGATCATCTCTGCCCGCTGCCTTTCCTGGTCTCAGACTCCGGATCGCCTTCAATACTTCCTCAGCAGATGGCACCTCAGCCAGCCACTCACAGGGGGTCACTTCTTCCAATATTTGAGGCACCGCAGCCTCAGCAAGGTCATCCTCACTTTGTGCCACGATGTTTTCCTGGCTGAGGGATTTTCCCTCCCCCAGGACCTCACAGAAATGCTCAGCAAATCTGCGAACCTGTTCCTGGGGGTCGGAGATTGGATCACCGTTTTTTCCCCTAATGATGGTAATAGGTGTGGCGCTGCAGGTTACTTTTTTGATGGAGTTAAATAGAGATTTGTGATCACGGGCCACTGAGGCAGACTCCATCTCCTCAGCAACCCGCGACCACCACCCATCCTTGCAGCGCCTCACGGCTCTCCGAACCTCCGAGCGAAGGCTGCGGTAAGCCTCCTCATTCTCTGACGTGGGATTCTGTAGCCGATGACAGTGGGCCTGTCGCTTTTTCTCAACCATCCTGAACACCTCCTCTGTCAGCCAGGGTCTCTGGGGAGGTCTGGACCGCGTACCCAAAGCAGCCATTGCAGCTGCATGAGTCACAGTCCTAAACCTCGCCCATTTACCCTCGACATCAGGAGGAGTCGGGGACGATGCCAATCCCAGCCGCAAGCGATGATGAAATTCTCGCTTGCAACTTTCATCAGATAACTGAGACCAGGCCACTTTATGTTGGAATGGGGTCCTGGGTGTACACCCACCACCGGAGTGGAAGAATGGCAGGCGCATCTTACAGATGACTAGTCGATAGTCAGAGGGCAGATCAGCTCCACGGTAGGTCCTGGTGTCAAGGACATGGGCTCGCATTCGCTGGTCCGTCACTATGTAGTCCAGCAGATGTTCTTGCTTGGACCCGGTATGCATCCATGATGTTGTGTGGATGCGCCGATGCCGGAACAGCGTGTTGGTAATTACAAGCCCATGGGCTGCACAAAAATCTAGCAGCCTCCTACCGTTGTTATTGAGCTGATCTGGCCCATGCCCTCCAATCACTCCAGACCAGGTGCCAGTATCATGACCAACTCGGGCATTGAAGTCACCCAACATGATGACTCTATCCCGAGGGGCCACTTTAGCCAGCACCTGTGACAGGAGGTCATAGAAGGCATCTGACTCATCGGCTTTGCCTGCATCCCTCCACGGATGTTCATCTTCGGTGGGGGCATAAGTAACCACGACCACCATTCCTCGCCTCCGGTTGATGGGAAGGCGAGCCCAAAGTAGCCTGGGGCTTACAGCTTCCCACACCTCACCGCCACGCTCCCACGCCCCCTTCATTCTTTTGTTCAAAAGGAGACCTACACCCTGTTGTTTGGCAGTCTACTGCCCTGAGTAGAGGACTGTCCACCCCTCATGGTGGCAGGAGCCAGAGCCGGTCCACCGGACCTCCTGAATGCCGCATAGATCCAGGCGGTACCGGTCCAGCTCCCGACAGAGGAGTGGCAGCCTCTCCTCTGCAGTGAGCGTTCGAACATTCCACGTGGCCACCCGTAGTGGCTTTTCGTTGTTTCTGGAGTAGCCCCGAGGGTAGGTATTCAATCTCCTGGCTCCGCCAATTGGGGTTTGGCCAGGAGACGTCATAGACGCCTGGCCCCCCGGGGCCTCCGGCACAAGCTTATTAGTTACATATTTCAGTTTAATTCGTGGTTTCGTGGTAATTAATTGAAGGTGGAGGGGTTACCAGCCCCTCGCACCCGTCCAGAGCCCCCGTTTAGCCCCTGTGGTGGACACATGCCATGAGGGGAGGAGCCAATCAAAATTGGATCTCCCCCCACAGCACTGTCCACGACAGAGTTGCCCGTCCGGCACCGCGAGGAGGTAGGGGGTTGTTTTGCCGGACACATCACACACACACCACATCACACACACACCACACACACACCACACCACACACACCACACACACACCACATCACACGCACCACATCACACACACACCACACACACCACACACACACCACACACACACCACACCATACACACCACAAGACGAATATCCCCCGTAAGTCTCTAACAGACTGCTGGGGCAAGTGCTGTTCACGAGTAAGACTGGCATGGCACACGAGGGGATAGGTGGCTGGCACTGCACCCGGCCAACTTTGTCTCCCCAGTGCTGATGTTTTATCGAACCAGGTACTAATTTAAGGGTGAGTCGGCATAGAGGAGGCCCAGGATTTGTTCAGCTCATCGTCACTGGTGTTGGCTGTGAGCTGGAATTGAACTTAGGTCGCCGTATGCTAACCACGACACTAACGCTCCCCACTGTACACCCCATCACATAACACCACACACACCAAAATGCACACCACACCACCACGCACATCACACCACCCTGAGTGAAGGGAGTGATCAGGTGGCTGCACAAAGAGAATTCCCAAAAAGGACCTCTTTCGAAAATCTCTCTTCAAATTAAGTTCCTGAGCCCAACACGTCAAGCGGCGGCTAGCAACAAGCAGCACTATTATAAGAGCTGTGAATCGGTCAGAGTGTAATGAGTTTCTGGAATCGAGCCAGGCTGTGAGAGTCGTAGCCCTGCAGGGGGCTCGCACTTCCCTCTCATGAGACGATCGACTCGCTGCTCTTGGGAGCCGGGTTCATAGTGGGTGGCTGGCGACTGCTGAGCCACACGGCCGGCTAGCAACGTGAAGTATGGTCATGCAATAACCGACACGGCATTGGGAGGCCCTCGTCCAGCATTCGATGACGTGAGAACGTACTTCTCGTGCCCCCGCCTGGCCCCAGATCCTCCGGCAGCTGCAGTCTCTGGGCAGCAGTGGGGGCAGCAGCCGGGGATCACCGAGCCCCCTGCACACTCCCCCACCGGGTCCCGCCGCCCCCGCTTCCCCCGCTATCCCCGCCGCCCCGCCAGGCCCCGCGGAGGAGAGACCTCGGCCCGGCCGTGGGCCCCAGGCCCAGGGAGCCCCATCCCTCTTCGCCGGTATGGAGATCCGGGCGGTGGGCCCCGGCGTCGCGGAGGGGCCCGAGCAGGAAGGGCTGCGGCCAAAGAGGAGGGGGTCGGGCGCGGGCTCCACCGGCAGGGCCCGCACAAGGCCGTCGGGTCCCCCTGCGGAGCGAACCCCTGGGGCGGAGGCGTCCGTCCGGCCTGGAGAGGGGGGCCCCCCGTCGGGCCGCGGCGGAGAGGGGGGGCAGGTGGCAGGGCCCTACTGCCCCCCCACTCTCGCCACTTCTTCCTCCGCCTTCTCCTTCCTGAGCAGCTGACGGGTGACGCGCATCGAAGCGCCGATCGTTATGCGAACGAGATGCTGATGTCACAACGAGATGCCGATGTCACAGCGGGGCGAACAGAGAGAGAGAACGAAACCCCACGGAGGGAGCGGGCGACAAGATGAGACACTGGGGAGACGGTGGGGAAGGCATCGTCGGCTCTTGAATGGAGTGCGGCACCGGAACCGTGACGTTTCATCGCATCGCTGGACGGAGTTGACTCGTGTCGCGCCCATGACCACACGCGCTTAGTTCACGCACTTCACGCACTTCCACACGCTTCACGTGCTGTTCACGCGCGGTTCACACGCGTGTGCACAGCCCGCCGCACGCAGAGTTTCACCTCCACCGCGCCATGCCCTGCCTACTTGAACATCGTCGCTCTCGTGCTCTGCTCAATCGCAGCAACGCGGGGTTTGGTGGAGTCCCTGCATCGGGGGTCCCAGTATTAGTGTTGCTGCAGAGGGGGTGCCTGTGTTGGGGGGTTCTATTGTTGGGGGTCCCTGTGCCCAGGGGTCCCTACGGAGTGGCCACGCTTTGCTCTGGTTGTAAATAAAACACGGAGTGGCCTGCACCGCTCCCTGGACCGAACTCGAGTCTCCCGCCTGATTCTCTCGCAGCGAATGCTTGTTAATCCACTGCTGGATGAGGGCCTTCTCAGTCCGTGCGGAACATGGGGGTTATCTCACCATACAGTACTTAACTGGTTACTGCCGCTGTATTGGTTATTAATATTCAGACAGCTCGATTTAGTTGGCTTGGTCAACTTCCAAACCAACTCAATCATTAAATACGTGACTTTACCGAAAGAACCAATAAGTAATTCCTGCTGTCATGAAAGCTCCAAATATGTTCTCTTAAGCTAGGGTAGGGGGACATTAATGGAAGTTTCATGTTGAATGATAACGTTAAGCGGGCTTGAGCGGCAGACGTGTTGAGAAGGGATGACTGTTCGTGCTCGAGACGAGCCACGGACTGGCAGCCGAAGGAGGGAAGGCATGCGGTTGAGTGTTGACCCCGAAACAGTATCTTGCCCTTTGATTTCACTGGTCTACGATTTTTTAGATGTCGTCTGCTTCAGAGATGAAATGTGCTGTTATGGATTTTGATGTGCTGAATTCAAATATGACATCTAAAACAACTGATTGGCTACTGTTCCCATCTATGTATATTGTGTAGATAGAGTTTCACACATAAATTGTAAACCTAGGTGTTTTCATGTGTTTATGGTTGCTTTACATGATAACATGTCACCTGTCCTGTTCATGTAACACTTTAAAATTCTGCTAAAGGGTTACATAAACAAAATGTATCATGAAACAAAAGGCAGCAAACTATTATATATAAGTACATAGTTGAGTCCTTATTCAGCCTGTACTCGGCGCTTCTTGGCTTTTCTGTTGCATTTGTAGTGGGTTGTATGGAGACGGAGTCTTCTTAGGAGGCAACACGTATTTATTTAACAACACACGGGGTCCCTAACACGAAGGGGTAATGGCGCCTTCTACCCGACGACCTGAAGAGGTACAGCCTCTGGGCTAACGTGCCCTAGCCACTGGGACCACCCACTCTTAGCCCTCCGGCTAACGGGACCTAGGGGAGGCTGACCCGACCCAGCCAAGGTCCTCGGGTCTCGACCACTGGCCCACTCAGACCCGGCCCTAATAAGGACGTCGGGTCCAGGGATCTTCAGGGTCCTCGTCTTCAGGCGTGCTCTTTCACTTGACGCTGACTGCCGGAGCCGTTCTGGGGTCCGGCTTTTATGGGGCTCACAGGGTCACTCCGCGCCCTGGCCACGCCCACTCTCTGGAACCTTCTGGAGGGACCTAGATTGTTGCGCAATCCCCCAGCCCCCACTGGGGGCCTGGGGTGTCCACCTCCGGTTCCTAACCGCCCTCCAGATTGCCTGAACCACCAGTCCGACTTGGTACAGGCCGGACCCGCTATTGCCCCCTGTTGGGCCCTGACTGGAGCTACCTATTTTCCAGTAGTGGTGGCGGCGTATTACGCCTGACAATTACCCACCACACATTCATTAAATGGAGCATCTCTTGTCACTGTCCAGCAAAAGTCTGCAAGCATTGATGGGCTCCATTTGCCCTGATAGCGTTTCTCCATTGTCGCAGTGTCCCGGTGGAATCGCTCGCCATGCTCGTCGCTCGCTGCTCCGCAGTCTCGGTGGGAAAAAATCTAGATGAGAGTGCAAAAAACTTAACTTTAGTGACATGTTGCAACCAAAGCTTTTGTATGCCTCGAGGTTTTCCACCAACTCCCTGTAGTTGTCTGCCTTGTTGTTTCCGAGAAAATTTGTTTCCACTAACTGGATGGAAGGCGTTCCATGCAGTGTTTTCCTTGCCACGCAGTGCACTGTCAAATGCATCATCTCGTAGAAGTTCACGAATCTGAGGACCAACAAAGACACCATCCTTTTACTTAGCTTCACTTAACCTTGGACATTTTTCACGAAGTTACTTGAAAGCTGATTGTGTTTTGTCCATGACTTTGACACAGTTCTTCATCAGACCCAGCTTGATGTGTAAAGGTGGTAACAAAAGTGGTGGATGCTGAACACTTTTCCTCCCAGGCTCCAATGACTGTCGGAGTGGCCAATCTATCTTGATGTAGTGGGAATCTCTCACGCGACTATCCCATTTGCAGACAAAACAGCAGTACTTTGTGTATCCAGTCTGCAGACCAAGCAAGAGAGGAACAACCTTCAAATCGCCACAAAGCTGCCACTGATGTTGGGCATAGTTTACGCACCTCAAAAGTTGTTTCATGTTGTCATAGGTTTCCATCATATGGACTGCATGGCCAACTGACATTGATGGCAAAACATTGCCATTATGCATCAAAACAGCTTTAAGACTCATATTCGATTAATCAATGAACAGTCTCCACTCATCTGGATCATGAACGATGTTGAGGGTTTCCATCATCACCATGGATGTTGTTGCATTCTATAAGATCACCTTCCATGAAGAAGAATGGGACAAGATCCTTTTGACGGTCACGGAACATGGAAACCCTAACATCACCTGCCAGAAAATGCCACTGCTGCAGTCTGGATCCCAACAGCTTTGCCTTACTCTTGGGTAGTTCCAAATCCCTGACAAGGTCATTCAGTTCACCTTGTGTTATGAGGTGTGGTTCAGAGGAGGATGATGGTAGAACATCTGGGTCATGTGACCTTGATGGTTCAGTACCAGAAGTTTCATCCTCTTCCTCGTCTGACTCATGTGAGCATGATTTTGGTGCATCAGGAACCAGCAGTCCTTCTCCGTGGGGTACTGGGCGTATAGCTGATGGAATGTTTGGATAATACACAGTCCACTTTTTCTTCTTTGACACACCTTTCCCAACTGGAGGCGCCATGCAGAAGTATAAATTGCTGATATGATCTGTTGGCTCTTTCCAAATAATTGGCACTGCAAAAGACATTTCCTTTTCCTGTTCAACCACTGGTGAAGATTTGTTGCATAAGTGTTGCAGCATATGTGTGGGGCCCACACCTTGTCCTGATCTCCAATTTTGCAGCCAAAATAAAGGTGATAGGCTTTCTAGATTTGAAGCTTTTGTGTCTGCAAGAATGACGATATCCTTGTCAGCTTCGATGTGGTCTCTCTGTTCACCAAGGTCCCAGTACCTGATACCATTGAAATAATTTAAAATTTGGTCCAACATGGACTAGACCCCGATACACCTGCGCTGGTTAGGCACTGCCTCACCAATACCTACTTTACTTGGAATGGCAACTTCTACAAACAAAATGAGGGTACCCCCATGGGTTCTCCCTTATCACCAGTGATAGCCAATGTTTTCATGGAGAAATTTGAATTAGACGCCATCCAGACTTCCACCCTCAGACCTTCCCTGTGGAAGAGATATGTAGATGACACTTTCGTCATTTGGCCACATGGCCTCCCAGCGTTGAATCTTTTCCTAGACCACATCAATTCTAGACATCCCGCCATCAAATTCACCATGGAAGTGGAGAAAGATGGCAAACTGCCATTTTTGGATGTTCTGTTTGAGAGGAGACCTGATGGCTCATTGGGACATTCTCTCTACAGGAAACCCACCCACACATTCCTACTTGAAACCTGATTCCCACCACCACCCGACTCAAAATAATTCTCTCATCAAAACGTTATACCACAGGGCTCATTGCATTTCGGACCAACACCACCTGACCAGTGAATTGAAACATGTACATCTGGCCCTCAAGAGGAACGGATACTCTGACCGTACCATCCGCCAAGCTGTTTCTCCCTCCATACAGAAACAACCACTTGATACTCCGGTCAAAACAATCACACTACCATATATAGCAGGCGTTACTAAAAAGATCTCCAAAATTCTAAACAAACACAAGATCCTGGTCCGGTTCAATACAGTACACAAAATCCGTGACCTGATCCCATCCGTGAAAGATGTCATTCCTGACTTACAGTATCCCGGGGTTTACAAATTGAGCTGCACCTGTGGTGATTGCTATATCGGGGAGACGAAGCGACATGTCTCTGACCGAATTCGCGAGCACAAATCAAATTTGAAACACGGCAGAACGAATTCTTCTGCCATAGCTGACCACTGTTACAACGCTGTGGGTGATCATGATATAGTTTTCTCCGATACCAAGGTTCTCTGCAAACCCACGGGTTTTTATCAGACATTTGTCCACGAGGCAATTCAGATTTACAAATACAGACACAATTTCAGCCGAGTGGATGGTTTCAAATTAAGCAATCATTGGAAAGATGGTCTAAATCATGCCAAACATTAAACTAATTTCAATGGTATAGTATATTTCCCAATCTTTCACAGCAGCTCATTTTCCTTCACACCAGCATTTGGACCTCTACGTGCATTTTATGCTAATTCCTTTGTCAAAGCGTTTTGTGTTTGCTCACACACAGCTTAAAGGACGCGACCTGGGCTTGGCTGTCTTCACTCCAACGCTGTCCTCTGGACAGCACGGTCCCTTCGCCTGATGAAGGCCACTTGTGTTGTGGCCGAAACGTCGTGATTTTTGTTTTATTTTTTATCTACGTGACTTTACCGAATAGAACCAAAGAGTATGTGATAGGCTTTCTTAACCATAGTGGTTATACTGTGCTTGTGATGCAAAAGTCACTTCACCAAAAACATAGCAGAAGTGATCTGCTTTGTTCACACAACTACGAGGCATCTGCTCACTTTGGCTAAACAGAAATGTGTCCCTTTGTAAAATCAAACACTGACAAATAAGAGAGCACGACACTGTATGATTTCTAGAGCTGATATAGGGCAATTTCTTCAGCAGAGGGATATAAGCCTAGTTATGATTGCGTAATCCATGAATTCTCTAAATAACATGATGCAATTCATATCATGTATGACGGAATACCAGGTTCAGATTGCATCATTCATTGTTTTTCGCAAAAACCAAGTACTGTCCAAATCCAGTCATAGATTTATTCATAGATCCAGTAAAATATGTATTTTACTCATTTCTGGTTTAAATTGAGATCCCTTCCCTTTATAACTCACTTATTCTCCGCCATTCCCAAGTCAACGGGCATATATACTGACTCAGTAGCATATCTTGTAAACTAGAGCCAATCAACAATTTTTAAGCATAATTTTCATTCTCAGTGACCCAGAACTAGTAAACTTGGACTACATTTATTCCGGAAGCATTTTGGCTGTAGACCAGTGTTATTTGAGTGTCTCCTTCACTCTTCAATATTCGTTATACTGGTAGGAACCTCCTGGTTACACCAGCCCACAGGGGATTATTGTGTCTGTCCGTCCGTCGTGCATCCAAAAATGGGAGGGGTGGAGAGGGGAGGGTGGGGAGGGGCTGGGTGGGGAGGGTGGGGAGGGGCTGGGTGGGGAGGGTGGGGCTGGGTGGGGAGAGGAGGGTGGGGAGGGTGGGAGGGTTGGGGCTGGGTGGGGAGGGGCTGGTCACCCCGTGGTGCCCTTATAAAACTCAACGTTTAACCTACTCACGCCGGCTTGTGCCCGCCCTCACAGTCGGGCATATTTGCGGGATACACCACGCCGCCGTTGACCCTGGCCATTGACCGAGCAACCCAACGTTCCAACCAGCTCCCACCGCAGGAGAATGTGTTTTTCTCTGCTTCCGCTCTGACACGAGAGCAGCAGTAAATACGTTCAACAGAAAGATGTCAATGTCGAGATCTGTTGCTCGCCACCGCGAGAGGGGCCTCGAGAGAGTACGTTCGCGTCGTTTCGCCATTCCTCCTCCGTTAATCTCCTACGCGTCTCTCTGTGTCTTCACGGGTTCACTGTACAGTCCCACCACAGCTTTGGGTCTCGCGTGGCCACAATCGCGCACGTCCTGCGGCTCCTGCCGTTGATTTTCAATCCACGAAGAGGGACGGCGATCAACGGCCCCTTGGTGACGATGTCACGATGCGGTCGATGGCTCCACGTGCGGCGACGCCATCGACCGCGTCGGAACGTCTCCGATGATGAACGGCGATGCCGAGTGGCGGGCGGATCTCTCTGTGAACAGTTTCACACCGAGCAGTGAGACGACATCGCCTGCTCCCATTGAATCATTGCCTGATGGCATCATTGATGTTTCTCTCTCTCTCGGTGTCTCATCTCCTCCTACCCCTCGCGAATGCCCCACGCGTGGGCATCACAGGCCCGGGGGGGGGGGGGGGCAGGGGGGGCGGGGGTAGGAGGAGGAGGTGGGGGCAGGGGGGGCGCGGGTAGGAGGAGGTGGGGGCAGGGGGGTGGGGGCAGGAGGAGGGAGGTGGGGGAAGCGCGCGGGGAGGAGGGGCGACCCAGAGCTATTTAATTCTCAGCAGAGGCTGGGAATTCGCATGTGGGGCTTGATAGTTCCCCCTGTCAGGATGCCAGTCTCCTCCAGCCTCCCTCCATCTCCTTCCGACACGCGCAGGGGGGTGGGGGGGGCTCATTGGCTCGTTGCAATCGGTTCGCGCGGTTCGCTTCCAGCGGCCGCCCCGATGAATACTGCCGAGTGCGATGGCCGTGATGGTCCTCCCGAGGCCGTGTGTTTAACTCAAGCTCATAACCCCCGACATGTCGTGACTCGAGTGGGATTCCACGCACAGCAGGAGCAGCAGCAACCAACCCCCCCAAGGTCACTCTTGCAAATGAGCCTCCTATCCCGGTCCCTTGGGTTCTCACCCGGTTACACAGAACCAGCTTGAGCTTGCCGTCGCCTACACGACAGCCACCATCTCCACCCACCTCGTCTCCATCATCACCAACACCCGCCTCGACTTCGCTTCTACCCCCCTCCCACCAGCCCCCACTTCATCTCCTCCTCCTCCTTTACCTCCCCCTGCAGCTGCCACTTCCAGCTCCCCATCGACCCGAGCCCAACAACACCCCCCACCCCTGCTCCCCGTGAAGATCCCCCACCCCTCTCTCTCCCCCTGCTCCCTCCTTCCCCCGCGTAATAGCTCCCCCATGCTCTCTCTCCCTCCCCCTGCTCTCTCCCCCTACCCCCTCTCACTCTCCCCTCTCTCCCTGCCCCCTCTCGCTCCGCCTCCTCCGTGTCCGCTCCGCCGCGCCCCGCGTTCTGAGATTGCGCGCGGCGCGCCTCCACTCGACACTCGCGACCAGAAGAACCACCACCACCACTAACGACAACCACCACCACTAACGACAACCACCACCACTAACGACAACCACCACCACTAACGACAACCACCAACAACAACAACCACCACCACTAACGACAACCACCACCACTAACGACAACCACCACCACTAACGACAACCACCACCAATAACGACAACCACCAACAACAACCACCACGTCGACCACTGCAAGGACGGGCACAGACGGGAGACACCCACGACAGCTCCGTATCCTCCGGACAACCACCAACAACAGCAACCACCAACAACAGCAACCACCAACAACAGCAACCACCAACAGCAGCAACCACCAACAGCAGCAACCACCACGGGGTGCGAGCGGTGGACCCCTCGACACCGGGGTCCGGCAGGGATTGTGACTTGGGGTGGGGGGGTCTTGACGCACACAGGAGGGTCCTCGTATCGAGCGAGGGGGGTCTCGGACTGAGCAGGGATGTCTATGACTGAGAGGACCTAAGAGCGAGGGGGTCCCCGCATCGAGCGAGCGAGGGGGTCCGGGGGGACCCCGCTATGGCCACTCCGCTGACCTACACCCCGCCTGCCTGGGCGCGCTGGTTGCACGGCGCCCCGCACCTCTCCCTCTCGCTGGGAGCCGCGCCCCGCGATTTCGCGCCGGGCCAGGGCGCCTACCAGCAGGTGAGCACCCAGCGAGGGGACACGCAGGGAAGGGGACACGCAGGGAAGGGGACACGCAGCAAGGGGATACCCCGCATGCAGCACATCTCGTGGTGCCCCTCGCCCCACTGGTGGCAGGGTGAGTAGATATACTGGGTGGTAGGTGCTGGGTGGTAGGTACTGGGTGGGTGGTGCTGGGTGGTGGGTGCTGGGTGGTAGGTTCTGGGTGGTAGGTGCTGGGTGGTAGGTGCGGGGTGGTGTATGTGCTGGGTGGTAGGTGCTGGGTGGTAGGTACTGGGTGGTAGGTGCTGGGTGGTAGGTGCTGGGTGGGTGGTGGTAGGTGCGGGGTGGTGTAGGTGCTGGGTGGTAGGTGCGGGGTGGTGTAGGTGCTGGGTGGTAGGTGCTGGGTGGTGTAGGTACTGGGTGGTAGGTGTGGGGTGCAGGATGCCTCTATCTCCTCCCCAGTGCTGATGTTTAAAACACAACAGTAGGCTGAGTAGACTCTAGGGAAAGGCCCTGGACTTGTGCAAGATGTAGTCTACATCGCTGGGAATCAAACTCGGGTGTTCAGGGTGGTGGCGCAGTGCGATGATGAACCTGCAGTGCACCACAACGCTTCCCACACCCAGACACAGCATCTCACACACACACAAAGACAAAGATCCCCCATATACCCTCTACAGACTGTAGGGGCAAGTGCTGTTAGCGAGCACCTATGAAGACCGGAACGGTACACGAAGGGGTGGGTGGCCAGCACCACGCCCGAACGCCTTTGTCTCCCTAGTGGCAATGTTTGCACACCGCACCAGGTACTCATTTGAGGCTGAGTCGACCTAGGGGAGGCCCGGGACCGGTTCAGATAATCGTCACTGGTATTGGCCGTGAGCGGGAATCGAACCCGGGTCGCCAGGTTCATAGCGCAGCGCGCTAACCGCTACACTGACGTACACACACACACACGTACACACACACACGTACACACACACACACGTACACACACACACACGTACACACGCTCGTGTACTCACAGGAAGGTACCGACACGAGCGGCGTCCCCCAGAGCCCCATTGTGTTCCGTTCCGCCTCCTGTGTTTGTTGGACACAATGCACGGGACCCCAACGAACGGGGGCCCCGGTCCCAGCCCCGTCACGGACCCTGCCAGATGGGGTGAGGGCTGGCAGCGACTACACACGCGGCTGACCCCAAATCCCTAAGACCCGACCCACGCTTTGTGAACCCTATAACCGTACAACTCTAACGCCTTCAACGTAGACAAATGCTCTCAAAGTCCCCCTAACCCTCTGAACCCAACCCTAACTCCTAAACCGAGACCTACGACTCTAAACCCCCGAAACTTTGGACGATGGCTCGAGTCTCGGCCCAGGTGCCCCCGCGACAAACTGGAGCCGAGTTCAGCGCAGCGACACCGGCGCTGCCAGCTCCCGGCTGCCACCCGAACCCCCGACACCTTCCGGAGTGGTGATAACGCCGTCCACCTCACACAGCGTCCCTCCCCTAGGCGCTGGTGGTGCTGGCCGGCGCGGTGGTGGCGTGCCTCGCGCTCAACGTGCTGCTGCTGCTCCTCTACCTGTGCTGCCTGTGCTGCTCGCGGGCCGGCGTCGGCGGAGCGCCCAAGCAGCGCTCCAGCAGCGGCAGCCGCGTCGCGTGGGCCACCGGCTCGGCCGCTCTCCTCGCGGGGTGAGCGCGCCACTTAATGCTCGCTCGTTCGCTGGTTCGCTCACTCGCTCGCTCACGAGAAGACAGAGGCAAGGACCCCCCCCCCCCATTCACAGAGGCTGCTGGGGCCGAGTTGATCTATGGGAGGCCCAGGACCGGTTCAGATTTTCATCGTCGATGTTGGCCGTGAGCGGGCATTGATCTCGGGTCGAAGGTTTTTGTTACACGGTGCGCCAACCACACGCACACACACACACACGCGCGCGCGCACACACGCACCCAGACACACGCACCCAGACACACGCACACAGACACACACACGCACACAGACACACACACACGCGCACACATGCACCCAGACACACGCACCCAGACACACGCACACACACAGACACATACACACGCACCCAGGCGCACACGCACGCACTCAGGCACACAGGCACACACACACGCACATAGACACACAGGCACACACACACGCACCCAGGCACACACACACACGCACCCAGGCACACACAGACACACGCGCGCACGGACGCACCCAGGCACGAGCACCACAAACACACGCGCATGTGCGTCTGTGTTCTTGTGGCATGAGTTGATTTGCACCCGGTGTCCCGGCGTCGCGTTGAACATGATTGCAGCACACTGCACAATCCTTGTGGACCTACGCTGACTGAAAGACACTCGTGTGTCTGGGTTTGATTTTGGACCTCATGAAACCCGGACCTCACAAGGGCCGAGAATCGGTGTCCATCTGTGGGTTGGGGCGTGGGGGGGGGGCTTGATAGCGGGGGGGGGGGGGGGGGGGGGGGCTGAGTGCCCGAGCCGGTCATTATGGATCGGAGCGCCGCGGTGTGGCGATGCTGCTGTGGTCTCGCCCAATGGACTTGAGATCTTCTAGCGGACGCACCATTGATTAATTGTCCATTAGCGCCGCGGCACGTCATCCCCATGATCTCGCCGAACCAAATTTAGCCGCCCCATCGTCCCGCAATCTCCTCCGCCATTCATCCACCTCCGCCATTCATCCACCCCGGATGAATGACGGAGGATGTTGGACCGATTTGCTTTTGACATAACGAGAGTTCGTAGCTTCGCGCGGGAGTAGGAGGAGGAAAACCGGAGGACCCGGAGATAACCCCTCTACGACCAGGTGAGCGGCTCGCAATCAGAAGGACTGCGAGTCCTGTGTGGGGGTTGACTCGGCTCACGATCATCCCTCCCTTCTGGGGTCGAAAAATGTTGTTACCACCTTTGTGAGGACGTCAACAGCGGTTGTTCTATATTTAGACCTCCCCCCCATCCCGCCATAGGAATGTGGAATTTACACCGCTGGCTCTGCAGCACGGTTGTGAACAGGAGATGAGCACAAGTGCCTCAATGCTCAATAGAGCAGCAAAACCTCTTTGATTTCCTTTCAGGGCCGAATAACCACAGTCGGGCTCTCTGAGTGGGTGCCCCCGTGACCCCGGTGGTGTTGTGAACCCTGGCGGTGGCGAGGTTGTGAACCCCGGGTCTCGGGGCACTATCGGCGCCGGGTTCCGTTGGAGCTGCGCGAAGCGTTTGTTTCTAGGCGGTTTTTTTTATGCTTGGAGGGGGGCGATATTTCGTGGCGAATTTGCGAGGAGAGGAAACCACGAGACGTAGTTTCCTCTCCACGGCGAGACGGCGCCCGGCGACGGCGCTGAGTCGTCACGGAGAGAGAGAGAGAGTGGGAGGGAGTGGGAGGGAGTGAGTGTGAGAGTGCGAAATAATGAGAGTGTGGGAGTGTGGATTGAGAGTGTGGGAGTGAGAGGGTGAGTGTGAGAGTCGGTGAGGAAGTAAGAGTGGGTGTGTGTGTGTGAGAGTACAATACAATTTGGGGGGAAGGGAGCTTCTCACTTTAGTGCGGTAGGAGTCCTTGTGGTAGTGAGGGGGCCCTGTGGTAGTGGGGGGCCCTGGGGAGGGGGGCTTTGGTAGTGGGGGGCCCTGTGGCGGTGTGAGGCCCTGTGCCGGTGGGGGGCCATGTGGTAGTTGGGGACCCTGTGGTAATAAGGGGCGCTGTGGTGGTGGTGGTGAGGGCCCTATTGCAGTGGCTGAGGGTATTATGGGCGTGGGTAGAGGTCCAAGGGAGAGAGGGCATCTGTGGAGAGGGATGTGGTATGGCCGAGGATTTGAAGCGTGGGAGGAGAAGTGGTTGAGTTGTGGCCGGGTAGATGAGGTCAGAGCGCTGAGCTGGCACTGCTGGGATCCGAGATGCGGTCCGGGGTTGAGCCGCCCACTGCAATTAAACGGGGTTCTCGATCGCAGCGAGCCCGGTCAACAGTGACTCATCTAGAGACCCACAGACAACACCATCGTGACCAATAGGATCACAGAGACCCATAGACTCATATAGAGACCCACAGACTCACATAGACTGAGTTGTGATTAAACCGGATTCTCTGGTGTCGTGAGTTGATGGTCTCAGCCTGGTCACCAGTTACTGCACAAGCAAAAAAAATCACGTCACTTTTGGTCCTGCACTTAATCTGGCAAATTCCAGCTGTGACAATTTAAATATCGGTTTGACCATCACGCGATTATGAGCAGGGCGGGTGGACAAGCGCTGCCCCTACTACTGTGCGGTGGACCAGGTGTCACTGTGCAGAAGGTGATCTCAGACGTAGCTCTGCGGTGTCTGCTTCCGCGCGAGGTTTTTCAATGGGTCTCCAGCTCGCCGGAAGGGGTCACGGCGCGCGTGGGAGATCTGGTGGCCACGTGGGGGCCACGTGGGGGCCGCGTGGGGGCCGTGCTGCCCTCCTGGGCCCGTCCCTCCTCTCCGCGGACCTCCCCTGGCGAGGAGTGAACATTCCTGGGTCCTAGACGAGGCCCTGACATGTGGCCAGACTGGGCCAACGAGTACGAGAGCGAGGGAGTGTTAGTGTGTCGGTGTGTGTGTGGGTCAGTACCGGATTATCCTCGTAGCAAAGGTAGTATATGCTACGGGCTTCGCACTTGCAAGGGCCCCGCGCGAAATGCTTTCAAGCTATCAATTCCGTATTCTTTGGGTCTTTCTGTAAAGCCACGTAGATAGAAAAAAGAATCAAAATAATAACAATATCACGACGTTTCGATCGGTTCAGTGATTCTGCACTTGCTCTATTACTATAGTACTATACTGCCTTCGACTTTTATGAACGACTATGTGTTTAAGGTTAGCGATTTGTCGTATTATCCGGCTGTATAGCAAATGAAAAAGTACAATTACTTTACTATGCAAGTAAAAAAATGTGTTTTAATATTTATGCGTTTTTTTATATTTAGGACCCCTTAATAATATGTGCTACAGGCCCCGCACTAGCTTAGTCCTGCACTGGTGTGGGTGTGTGTGTCTGTGTGTGTGGTAGTGTATCGGTGTGTCTGTGTGTGTGTCTGTGTGGGTGTGTGTCTGTGTGGGAGTGTATCAGTGTGTGTGGGTGTGTGTGTGTCTGTGTGTGTGGGAGTGTATCGGTGTGTGTGTCTGTATGTCCGGGAGTGTATCGGTGTGTGTGTGTGTGTGTCTGTGTGTGGTAGTGTATCGGTGTGTGTGGTAGTGTATCGGTGTGTGTGTCTGTGTGTATGGGAGTGTATCGGTGTGTGTGTGTATGTGTGTGTGGGAGTGTATCGGTGTGTGTGGTTTGTGTGTGTGGGTTTGTGTGTGTGGGGCGAGGCAGTGTCGTGGTTAAGCGCTAAAAACCCACCGACCTGAGTTCAATTCCCGCTCAAGACCAACAACAGTGACGATTATCTGCACCGGCCATGGGCTTCCCGTGGGTCGACTCAGCCTCAAATAAACACCTGGTGCTGTTTGTAAACATCTCCATTAGGGAGACAAAGGTGGCCGGGCGTGGTGCTGGCCACCCACGACCTTGCATCCCATGCCGGCCTTCAATAGGTGCTCGCTAACAGCACTTGCCCCAACAGTCTGTTGAAGGCTACACGGGGGATCTTTTCCATTTGGAATTCATGTTAGAGTTGAGGATTTAACTTTGGTGGTGGTGGTGCAGTGACACTCATGATATTGAATTCCAGACACCCCTCAGTTCCCACCCTTCACCCGCCACCCCCCGAGTGAGCATCAATGTGTCTGGGAGAGTGATGGTGTGAGTGCACGTGGAGTGCGAGTGTGTGTCGGTGAAAGAGGGCGTGTGGGATGGTCTCTGTGAGCGATTATGGCGCCTCCACGCGGGCTGCTCTTTGTCCCCACGTGGGCTGGTCTGCTCAGAGAAGACATCTCGATGGGCGTCGGTCAAACAAAGGACATCCGGTGTTGTGTATTGTTGTTGTTGTCGTGTGAGTGGTGTTGGGCTCAGCTGCAGGTGTCAGCCCCTCCCACCACCCACCACCCACCCAGCTCCTGTTCCTGCCCCCCCCCCCCCACTTTTCCCCACCCCTCACTCCCCTTCCAGGAATTCTGGCAGCTCCCGGCCAAAGAAAGGGACGAGAATTCTACTGACAAAGTGTTGCTGTGTGTGCAGCGATGTGTGGGGTCATCGGGAGTGTGAGAGAGAGAGAGAGTGTGAGGGGGTGTCTGTGTGAGGGTCTAAGTGAGAATGTGTATGGGACAATGTAAGGGTGTGTGTGTGTAGCGGAGAATGTGAGTGTGTATGTGTGTAGGGGAGATTGTAAGGGTGTGTGTAGGGGAGAGTGTGAGTGTGTGTAGGGGGACAGTGTAAGGGTGTGTGTGTGTAGGGGAGAGTGTGTGTGTGTAGGGGGAGAGTGTGAGGGTGTGTGTAGGGGGAGTGTGTAAGGGTGTGTATGTGTGTAGGGGGAGTGTAAGGGTGTGTGTGTGTAGGGGAGAGTGTAAGGGTGTGTGTGTGTAGGGAGAGAGTGTGAGTGTGTGTGTAGGGGAGTGTATGTGTGTGTGTAGGGGAGTGTATGTGTGTGTGTAGGGGAGTGTATGTGTGTGTGTAGGGGAGAGTGTGAGTGTGTGTGTGTAGGGAGAGAGTGTGAGTGTGTGTGTGTAGGGGAGAGTGTGCGTGTGTAGGGGAGAGTGTAAGGGTGTGTGTGTGTAGGAG